TCTGCTTGTTTGAAAATCTGTTCTAAAATATTCCAGCTCACTGTTGATGAGTGAGTACTTATCTGTACCCAAAGAATTCAGGAAATTACCCTGACAATCCATTTTTGTAGCCTTTCACTCAGGTATGTAGGATGTTAGCTGTCTTTGAGAGGTCTTGCCATATGTACCATGGCTTAAGATCTGTAGGCTTGTTTTCTGTTCATGTATGTAAAGTTAAACACATGTGTAACCCATGGAGCTTTTCAAAATGGGCACCAGTAGTATCACAATTGCTTAGAAGGAAGGAAGTTCTCATTACAAACAGTACACTGAGTGATGTGTGGAACACAGAGCATTTTGTAGCAGGTGATTCTACCATTCTGAGAGATTAAATATATCAGATGAAATAATTTTAAATGTGCATATGCAATCCAGTATATTTTTCTTAGGGTGCACAGTTGTGGTTTCAAAGTTACTGGTCTGATCCAAACTAGGCTGGAGAACCTCAATTATTTGAGTTGTTTGGAATAGATTCTCAAATTGCACTACCTTACTTTCAGCTTGAATTCGACTCTTCTTGCTCTTTTTTGATCTGATTAATCAAATCTTTTTCTGTGATACTTACTGTTTGGGGGGGAAAAAAAGGGGTGGAGTCTAATGAGATACAATTACTATTTAGAGATTAAAAACTTTCCAGACTGCATCAAGACATGAAGTGAAGGTTTATGAAAGGCAGAGTTCCCTTGTGAGTAGTCTGGAGGAAAAAAACCAAGAAAATTAGAGAGGGATTTGTTAAAAAATATTTGCATATAGTCTAGGCCAGAAAAGTATTTTTCAGGGCAATTTACTAACTTATTAAGATACACTTAATTTGTGTAACAGCATGAAATCCTATTAATTTTTGAGTTTCTAGTTTGTCAAAGAATCATTCTATTGACTATGAAACCAGTTTTTTCCACTGTCCCCTGCTCTTTACCAAGGCCCTGTTCCTTTAAATGGACTTGAGCATCTGGTGTGTTCTCTGTCCATGTGCAACACTTCTCACTCGGGAAAGAGTATCCTGCCTCTCCTGTCCCTGGAGGAAAAAAGATCCTTTTTTCTTTTTTTTTTTCCTTTTTTCTTTTTTGTCTTCTGTGCCTTTCTAGGACAGAAATGTCTCTCCTACTGTCACTCTCACACCTTTGCCAGGCAGCTGTAAAGATAACATCTCATCTTTTTTTTTCTCTGTAGAGCACTTTTAGTCAAAGCGCTTGTTTATATAAGAGTGTGCTAACTTGATGAAGATGCTTTCATTTCTTCTTCACAAGTCTTTCTCCATTTATATGTTAACCATTTTTGTTCAGCTACCCTTGAATCTGTATGGTTGAGCAACAAACCTTCACTAATTTATGTGTATCAGGATTTCAGGAGGGAAATGGCATGTGCAGCAGGAACTGCAATCCTTTTCTGCCAGAATGTGAATTCCAAGATTTCTGACAGCTGACTTGCTCCAAAAGTCCCAGTTTGAAAATAGAATGCTTTCTCCTATGTTATTAAAAGCAATCTCTTGGAAACAGGTCTCTCAGGTAGATTACAAGCAAGATATGCCTCTGCATTATTGTAGCTGAATGTGGGTTATAGGTTATGCTTATTTTATAAGCAAAAACTTGTCCCAGGTACGAAAACTGACTCAGAATTTGGTGTAGTTGTTAGCTGACAATGCTGCTGCTGTTACTGTGCATGATCTGGGTGAGTCCTGCAACCAGCTTTGGCCTGTAAGAGGCAAAGGCTGCCTGCAGAGCAGTCTGTGCTGCACAGCTTTTCCTTCAGCTGTGCTCTGACCTGCGAGTAGGGCTTGGCAATAATAACCAATCAGAAGATGTGAGCTAGAAGAAGATGCCTGGGGAGGACCTGGGTCAGAGAACGAAGTAACTTTGGGATGATTTCTGCTGTATAGAATTAAAAAAGAGGTGTAGGACCTTGTGGCTGCCAGGGCCTCTACACTGCTGATGCTGACTGTCCAAGTGAGCTCTCCTCCTTCCAGCTCCCTCCCCTCAGCAGCAGCCCTTCATGTATTGCTCTGGGAGGTGTCTTCCTGTCTCTCCCAAGTGATCTATTCCTCTGCTTAGAGACTTGGTCATCTAAGGGCAGTTAGAGGAACAGTTGCAGTTTATCTGGGAAGGTTGCAGCTTCCTCAGCAGGGTGGTGCTAGGTTTTCTTGCTGCAGAATTGGAACATCTCATGCTACTGCACTGGGGATGCACAAAGCAGGGAGGTCTAAACAGGGGCAAGTCTACTGCTCCCATGGCTTAGCCTACAATTCACAGCAGTAATTCACTGCTCTGGGTAATGTATCCCCCCAGATGACATGCAGTGTCTCTTGACATGTCACGTCATGACTCTTGATCTGTCACTTGGCATGGTGGGAAAACATGCTGAGACTGTCCCATTTCACTGGACCTTATTTGCCCTTTGGAAAGGAACAAAGGAAGAACTGGATCCTATGTAAAATATTTTGGAAGACTAAAGGTTTAGAACTGCTGGTGCTTTGGTATTCAGTGAAATGCTTGGTTGAAGATGGACTACTGGAGAGAAGTCAAGGAGTTGTAAAACTATTTTTAATTATTACATACAAACTTAGGTCAGAATACGAATTTTTATTGGTATGGAATGGTGCTTTTGAAAAGTTAAAATGCTAAAGTAAGTTTGAGTGCAGAGTACAGGCCCATTACTTTGTTTTCCATATGGCTGAACTACTAATTGTCCTTAGAATACTCTAAAGGTGGCCATACATCCTTACCATCAACTCATGTATGTGTGCTTAAAACTTGACTGGTCACAGACCTTGAGTGTTGGTACATGCTATTTAGACCCTAAAGAGTATTCTTGTGACATGAAAATAATAGTGTCTATCTAAAGAAAAAAAGAAAAGCAGTAATTCAGCAGTGTGGTGCAGTTTGGAATTTTATGGTCCACCTTCAGAACACAGTGTGTTATAGTAACTTTGGGCAGATAATTTTCTGTGATTGTAAGATGAATGAAAGTTCTGTGAGCTGCTCGCTTTTTATTAGCATATCAGAGCTTGTAAATCATGCTGTGTTAGTAAAGGGCTGGTGTTTCTCACAGGTCAATGTTTGTCTTCTTAACATCCTTCCAAATGTATTCAAAGTTTAAAAAAGAAAAAACTGCCATGCATTTTTGTATATTCATAGAAGTCCTTAATTGGCTAACAGACGTACTTCAGTATTATTCCCAGGAACTAAACATGTCTTGTACTCTGGTGGTATTCTTAGCCTGAGAAACAGATAACATGCAATAGCCAGTGAGTCACTGTGCCCAGCACTGCTTTTCCTTCACAGTGGTTTTAAGGAGGACAAATGCTTTGCTTTCCCAACTCTGTGTCTAATTTTAGTATGCCAGTGGGCCCAAGGACTTTCAGGCCACCTTCTCAGATAATGTCATCCAAAACATTCAAACTTCAAAATGGCTGGGTGTTACAGCTGTGCTGTCTGACATTGTATCTGTGTATAAAACATCTCCTGCTCTTTGTGGATAAATACACAGGGGCACTAAATGGACATGAGGGAGATTTGTCTGGTTACAAAGCAGAATTTGACTCCTGGTATATTTGTGACAGTCATAAAAGAACCATAATCTGTTCTTTTTATGCTTTTGCATTACTGGGCTGCTAAGGGTAAATGTCTGCCTGAAAAGGAATTTAGATCTTGGAGCTCAAAATAACTGCTTTTGTATTTTCTTGAAAGGTGATGACTTGTCCAGAACATACATCTCTCTCTCTCCTCTGTTGTGCGTGTACACACACACAGAGAAAAAGAAAAAAATGTGGATTTATAAGTAATGTTTTAGTAATTTCATTAATGCACATCTTGTCTAGTTTTATGACCACATATATTTTGCATCATAAGTCATGGCTGAATTTGACTTTGTTGTAATTTTCTGCTATTTATACTAGAAGAAATCCCTTGTGCTCTCTATAAGCTATTTTAAATAAGTCTCGCAATCACCAAAAGCAGCAATACGAACTGATCTAAAGCTAGTGTGAGGAACTTTAGCTACACATATAACTGCAGAAAAGAAATGAAAGCTTTTAAAGATCAGTAACATGTTATATGTTTTGAAGACTTGTAGATTTGTTTGAGGCAGCCAGCCAAAGACAGCATTTATTTCCTTGCAGACTTTGCCCAAAATCAGTGTGTTTAGTCCGTGTGTAGCAGTGTGTTTAGATGTGATGTATTCCCAAGGTTTTCTTCCCCTAGTATTTTAACCCTTTGTTCTTATGTGCTTAAGCTGGACCTAAAAAACTTCTTAATATGTGTGATTTTTCATGTAGTGCTGGATTCATGAGGGAAAAAAAGAAAAAGGAATTTTGTGTGACTGTAGATGTAAAAAATAGCATTTTATGCAAGTAAATGTCCACTTTAAAAACTGGAAATTTAAATGTCAATCCAAATTCTCTTCAAGTCATATCTGTTGTGTCATGAAGTGGTCATTAAACTGCAGCCACATTACCACATGGTTATTGGATTTAATTGCTTTAAAAAACATATAAAAGTGAAAAAGAGGAAACAGATTGTTACTGTGATTTCAGTTATTTCCCATTTGGTACTGAAAACCTGTCATACAGTGTATTTAAAATATGTTTTAAAATATAAAACTCTAAATTAATTGAGCTTTATGGAGCTAGAAAGTGGCAGTATTGATTGAATTCAGTGTTACCTATTTTCAAGTCCAAAATGTCCCATACCCAAATGAAAATCAGAAAAAGAGATAATGTAATTTCATTTTGAAAATTATCACTGCAAAATGATTTTTCCAGAAAGAAAATAATTGAACTGCAATGAAAAAAGTTTTGTATTTATAATAGCTTGATCAGTCTTCTAAAATAAGCAATTCTTTATACATGCAATTAAAAGTGCTTTCATATTTAGTTTCCTGCTATCTTCTTTTTTTTTTTTTTTTTTTTTTTTTTTTTTTAAGGATTTGTCTATGACTAAGTCTTTCAAATTTTTTTTTTAATACAGGTATCTATCCATTCCAGAACTAATTTTTTCTACACCCAGAGACTGAAATGGCATGACTGGAGTTTTAAGTAATTTGGCTTTGACAGTTTCACCATTTGCTGAGAAGCTGGAACAGAATTTGAACTCTATTTCTGCACTATCCTAGGTTATAATGCCATCCTTTCCTAATGAGGGAGGTATGCTAGTCTTGGATTTTTAATATACCCTATGAATTATTCAGTATGCTTGTACCTATAAATTGTGATGGAGTACTGTTTGTATTTTTAGTTAATTTGTATATGTTATTTGAGATATAAAAATGTTAATAGTTACAACATTATTTTTCAAAGATAACCATGGAACTGCTTCTCTGACTTTGAGTTCAGAACTACCCTATCAGAGCACAATTAAAAGAAAAGTCAGAAAGAAGAAGAAGAATGGAGTCATCACTGCCAATATTGCTGGCACAAAATATGAAATTGGTAGGAAGCTGCATATTTTGTTTTCATCCTAATAGCCTTTGATGTGAGAGAGTTACTGATTAATGGAGGGAATTAATGGACTCTGCATCAACCTGACAGTGAGACATTTCTGAAGGAGTTTCTTTTATAAGAAATCTGGGGTTTTCTTGTAACATTTGATTCATAGCTTTGGATACTGTGTATCTAGTAACCCCCCTCTGTTAGTCATATTAATTCCTGCTTGTTACCTTGAAATGTAAAAAATTAAGTAATCAAGAAGGCTGTGGAAGAGCCTTCTAAATATGTGTTATATATGTGTTTGGAAGTTTACTTAAAGCCTTGAAAGATGAACAGTGTAAATTCAATGTTAAATACTAATTATTATACAGAGGCTTCTCAGAAAAATCTGTTAAGGTTTTGGATTTTCATGTTTAGTGCTAAAATATTTTTTCCTAGAATCAGAGTTACGCATGGCATGTAATCAGTCTTTTTTTAAAAAATTAAAATAATGCATGCATTTACTTTTGCAACACTGTACCTTCTCTATGGAGGCATTTTTGTCCCTATCTGCAGTGACACTTATAGTCATCACTGCTTTAAAAGTAACCTATGGCATAAGCAAAATTAAATCTAACTGCTGTACAAGGGGGTTTGTGCTGGATGATTGGGGAATACCTTGAAGCTCTTTGCAGTTCCCATCAGTGGTTGTGCTGATTCCTGCCTCACTATAAGGTGCTGAGACATTGTAATGGCAGGTTTGCAATAGACTGATGGAAATATTGCAAGATAAATAGCTTGCCATGCTAACATTGTTCTCAGATGAAGGGGTCTATATTGGAAGTATTTAAAATCTTAATTGATTTTTTTAAATGTTGAAAATGAATCTATTTTAGAGATTCAAAATAGTCCCTAAGAGTGTGATTTCTCCACAGTGCGTGTGGTAATACAAGAGATGGGATTTGTGAAAACGCGTGATGAGGATGAAACAGCAAATCTGATCTGGAGTGATTGTGCTGTGCAGCAAGAGAAGATTGCTGAGCTGCAGAACTATCAGGTGCCGTGGTAGTTAAGATTTTTGACATGTTTCCATAAACTGCTTTACTCTGAAATGTTCAGTAATGTCAGTAACTGCTCAGTTCTGTTTGTGTAGAAAAAATCCCCACACAAACCACAGCCAAACAGGCTGCATTAAGGCTGTACCACTGCATAGCTTAAAATCCTCTTCTTTTTTCCAGAGTTATTTGTTCTTACAAACAAGCAAATTAAGGCTGTACCACTGCATAGCTTAAAATCCTATTCTCTTTTCCAGAGTTATTTGTTTTTACCACTTGGAATCTGGTGTATAAATATTTGGGGCTGTTCTTTCATGCTTTTTCCTGCCAGTTGGGTGTTGTGAATGATCAATTTAAAGAAGATACAAAACATCATTTATAAGTTTCTCATAAGCTTTGAAGCAGTAAGTTAAGAAACAGAGCTCTCTCTCCACAGTCCTGTGAATAAATATTTTGGTTTTTGTACCATTATCTTGTGTTTGCATTCTTTGTTTCTAGATAGCTTTGTGAATAAACGTATGATAGTCTCATGTATGAAATTAAATCAATGGGCACTTATATGGATGGAAGAGAATACAACTTGCAGCATCTTTAACATTGTTAAGAATAGGTACTATAGTGCAAGATATTATTTTAAATAATTTAGATGTAGCAGTACTTGTGTTTGCCTGAGCCTGCAGTTGAATGTTTTAAATTACTGTAATTAGGTATGCCAGAGAAATGAAAAAGTTTCAATTAATTTTCCTTTTTTTTTCTACTTCCTCAGAGAATCAACCATTTTCCAGGAATGGGAGAGATATGCAGAAAGGATTTTCTGGCAAGAAACATGACTAAGTAATATTTCTTTTAATATTAAGAAGTTTTCCAGCTGTGGTATTTAATGCAATAATATACAGAACTATTGCTTTTGAGGCTTGTTTATTTTTACTAAGAAACTAGGAGAGGACCAAGAATAATTTTCCAAGTTCTTTAATAACTTTAGCTTTGGTCCTGGATCTGTAGCATTAGAGTGGGCTACTTTATTTCTCCAATTGACTTCAGTGGAGTATTATGTGGGTTCACTTCTCTATCTAAACACTGCAGAATGTGGGTGAGTTTTGAATTATTGTACAATAAACCTAATACATAATACACCCACGTATGTATCCCATAATAGTAGAACAGAATAAAAGAACTGTATGTGGCTGGATAGTGCATCTGGACTATCCTGTGCAATGTGCTGTAGGATAGCCCTGCTTCATCTGGGATGCTGGACCTGAGGACCCACTGAAGTCCCTTCCAACCTGACCAATTCTTTGATAGTACTTGTTTAAAATGATTAATAGCTATATTTTTGTGTATATCAAATTTTAAAAATGTGAAGCATCTTAATGTTTATATAACAAATTAGTCAGTGAGGCTCATTTCTCTAATTACAAATTCTCCTCACTCTAGTGGAATAACTGGGTTCTGAGGAATTATTCTAGCTGAGAATCTGTGAGTAAGACTTGTAAGAAAACAATTCTACATAATGATCTGATAGCCTAGTAAGGAAAGGTTTGAGGGTAAATATATGTCAATATTTTATTCTAATCTAAATTAGTTTGTAAAGCAGTTATTAATAGAGCTAATCATTTGGCCTTCAACATGACTTACACAATTTAACTGCTAACAGAAGAGAATTTGTTTTCATATAAATGTAATTAATGTAGTATCTTCTCTCTCTCTCTCTGTCTCTCTCTCAATTTCTTTCTCTTTTCTGTTCTGTAACTAGAGCACATAACATGTAGAATGTATGTAACTATTATGATGCAAATACTGTGTGCATTGGTGTCGTGTCTCCATGTCCTACATGTGGACTAGAGCTCCCCTGTGTCAGTGGTGCTGCACAAGCACTTTTCTGTGCCCCTCTGAGACTGAAAGAAAAAACAGAGACAGCACATAGAGGCAAACAGCTGTTTGGAGAGGTCTTGGAAACAGCCAGTCAGCTTGGTACACAGTGTATTGCTGCAGTTCTGTGACAGTTTTTAAAACATATGGAAAACGGACAAAAAGCTCTTGTTTTCATGCACTCATTCTTTCAAATACAGCCTGATGATACCTCTTTCAACCTACTGAATTCTGAGTTCAGAACACAGTTTAAAGTTACTCATTGCTGAGATAGCACATACAGATAAGATGGGAATAATTTCTCTTACACCATAACTCTAGCTCAAACATCTGTGTTGTGACTTCACTTAATAGCAGTAGATATAGCAGGGCTTAATCAGTTGGCTTTTTTTCTCAATACTGGCGCTCACAACTCGATACTTAGTATTCATACTTTATAAAAATCAAAGTGATATGCCTTGAGATTGCTGGTGAAATCCTAAGTCACTTGGGATACGTGGTTGAGCAGGCTCTTTCCTGTAGAATGCAGGATTTTGTTTCCTACACCTCTTGTTCTGTCTTAAAATTTGGATGTGTAGAAACACTAATTCTCTTGTCTTGTTTACTGCTGCATGCCATATTTTCTATTCCCATTACTGACTGCTGATTACTATCATTGAGAGATAATGAAACTATATTGAGAATTGGTAGAGAGTGTACTTTTTTTTTGTTTTACTTCCAAGTTTTTTGCTCTACTGAATTCAGTAAAAACAGAGGAGAAGGTGCACTTTTCCCAAGGATGATTGGGAAAGGGCATGGATCCATCTATGCAATATTGTCTTTTCCAGCACCTTTGTTGATTATATTTAAAAGGTTCATTAACTAATCATGGGCCAAGAATCATTCTCATCCATATATATCCACTAACTTTTCATATGTGAAAAGTCAGAGGATTTTGAAATTTAGGCAGTGGAATCTGTGTTATTAGACTGAAGGTTGTGCCTTTAGTGAGCTATGTTTTGTTCCAACACCATTGATTCTTTTGTACAGAAAGCGCTCAGATCAAGAGCACAGTCTGACCACATTTGTGAGCTAAAATAGTACTCAGAAGAACAATAATTTGCTGTTTATTTCTCCTGATAAGCACAGCAAAAGCTAAAGGATAGAGGAGCACAGTGAAAAAGTGGTTACTCATAGTAGTGGACAGCCCATGTGCTGAAAAATAGGGCTATTGTAATGGGATAGGCCTTGATTCCACAGGCTACTTAATGATGTTCCTAAGCCCTTTCTGAATGGGGCCTTGCAGGGAAAGAACAGAGCTGAATTATTTTTTTGAAAGTTTTAGTGAGCCTCAGAACTTATAAACAATGCTGAAGTATTCCACTTCATAATATGAAGTGTTTGTAATGCACCCAGTTCAGTTATGCATTAAAAAGATAAGGCATATGGAACTGATATACTTTCAGTCACGAAATAATATCAATATATTGGAATAGTTTGAAGCTATATTCAATGAGTAGGGTGTGTGTATATTGAAACCCTTGAGTAAGTTAAATGGCAGGTCTCTAGCATGTAACAGGATGCATATGATAAATAATCTGGAGAGGGATTTAAACTAACACAGAAATTGCTTTTTGCCTAAAAATAGGATAATTTCTGCCTAGATAAGGTACTCGGTTGGCAAAGTAATAACATTCGTAAAGACAGAGCAGATGGAGAGTTGTTTAACAATATGAATGAATCAGGAATTCAAATATCTACTTCTGTTTTCAAAAAGTTTTCCTGAATATTTAGTGGCTTTCATTGAAGTAGATTTGTGAGAACAATAGTTACAATGAAGCTGCAGAAGCACTGAACCTCATGCAGTTCTGCTGTAGCTATTGTGGTTTCTGCACAGTGTTTGTTGGGTAGTTGGCTACACAGTTTGGTGACAGTGTATCCATTATACCAGTGGGGCTTGGCTACAGTCCTAGTCCTACACATGTGGCTGAAACAAAGCTCTGTTTTCCCCATTAGTATTTTAGCCACTTAAAGAAAAAGTATCTGCCCAAGAGTATTACATAAGCTCATAGTAGAAAAGAAAATTAGAAATGATATTTCCTCTTTTACACATTAGTTATGCTGATGATATTAGTTTTCAGTACAAAAGGAGAAATATACCTAAATCTATATTTAATTATAAAATATTAAGCTTCACCATAGTGGCATTAAAAAAAAAATCAAAGTTGGGGAACTTCCTGTATCACTTAATTTCTTTTTAAACTTCCAATTCTTTTCTGTTGGTCTGTGGATATTTGTATTTGGATGTGTCCACTCTATGCTACAGAGTAGTTGTGCGTTACCTGAACTAATTTTGTCTGAGGTTCTGTATGAAGGAAATTTCAGGTACTCTGAGTACGTGAAACAACCTAGCTGCACCAGTATGGAACTCAACAAAGACTAAATTTATCCTTGGGAACGATGCCACCAGTGTACAACCTCCAAGTCCCCATTGCTGCTGTGGCTTGGCTGCTGAGCAGGGTTAAAGCAGCCCGTGTGTACCTCAGCCGTACCCACAGCGTGTGTGGGTGCATCTTCCTGTCTGCCACAGACACAGCTCTGGGTGATGGACACTTCTACTACCTGAATTCTTTACCATTCTTCTTCTTCCATTTTTCTTCACAAATAATGGAGCTATAGAATGAGATGCACTCACTACCTTAGATGCCACAGCTATTAAAGCAGGGAGATCAGGATCTTGGTGCATCCTTTCCCCAGATTCAGAGTTTGATTCCCTATTTTTATTTTATTTCTTTTACTCCACCCCTTCACCCTACTCCCTTCCTGCCTGATCTTGCTTTGAATGTCTTTGCTTTCTTTTGATTAAATTAGGTGCTCTTGGAATCTTAATCCAAATATACTGGGACCAAAGACTAATCAAAGCTTGTGTGATTTGTCCTATGTAGGAAATGAATGAGTTGATTGGCCTATGTCAAAGTCTATTTACTACAATTCCTTATTTTTAAAATTCTTTCAAAAGGAACAAAAATCTCTTCCTTAATTACTTCCAATTTTAATTTTAATTTTAAATTCAGTCTTTTTTGCACCCAAGAAGAAACTCCAAATATCCCAACTCTTCTTTTTTGTGTCTTTTGATCCTCATAGCTCCCCAGACACCTACCAGTATGAAAATTAAAATACTTCTCAAATACCACCACCCCCCCCCAAAAAAAAAAACCCAACCATGGTTTATTATAAGTTCAATATTTCTAAGAATAGGAATAGCATTAAGTCATTTGAGTAAATAGCCAAAAATTGTAACAGGAGTGAGATGGATGCCAAGAAACAAGATGGATACCAGTAGTATAATAAGCACTTAAGGAAAAAATGTTCAAGATAGTCTGCTTTTGAATCTAACACATTCACACTCATATGAATATGTAATAGAGCTCTAACTATTATTAAAGAAATGCAAAAGTTTGCTTTCATATTACCGAATTTTGCTGAAAAAGCTCCCTTGTCAAATTGTCATGAGTGCTTTTTAATCTTGAGGATTAAAACATCAAAGTAGTCAAAAGATTTTAACTCAATTACCCTTTTTGTGCAGAATGATCAAGAGTCAGCCTCAGGAGTACAGTTTCATTCCTCGAACATGGATCTTTCCTGCAGAATACACACAGTTTCAGAACTATGTAAAAGAATTGAAGAAGAAACGTAGACAGAAAACTTTCATAGTCAAACCAGCTAATGGTGCAATGGGACATGGGTGAGTTGTGAGTTAACTTCAGTCTTCCTACCTGTTAAAGGTGAAATCCAGTGCTACTTACAATATTAACAGAAGCTGTGTATTAACAAGAAGATTGTATTTTGAGTTGTGTGAAAGTCAGTGTACTTGGTGAAGGCTTCACAAGCCTTAAATAAACTCAAATAATTATTATGAACACAGTTATTTTATTGTGAATTTTTTGCTTTGCTTAGATTTATAGGTGAGATTGTATTGGGCATAAATGGCAGGGTTTTGGTGGCTGGAGGCTGCAGGGATGTGTGGGAGGTCAGGATGTTTCGCAGCTTTAAAACCAGCTAAAACACCCCATTGTGTTCCCAAACTGCAGCCAGTCACAGAAGCAGAAACGTGTTTGAGAGCAGCAGCCACAAGGTTTAGGAGAGACAGAGGAGATGCTGTTGGGGATGTGGCTGGATGTGCACTCTTGGAAGCAGGGCACACCCCTGAAGAGACTGCAACCTGCACTTGAGTTGAAGAAGTTTTGTTTGACAGGGCTGCACAGTAAAAATCCAATGAGATAAATATTGCAATTGTATTTTTAGTTCTTTTTTCCCCCAATACTTTGGTTTTAGATTTTATTGCTTTTAATATCAATTTGAATTATACTATATAGTAAAGCTCTTAGTTTCTCAACTTATGTCAGAATTACTACAAAAGTAAGGCCCCCAAACTTTTCAATTTCTTCATTTTTCAGTCCTCTTGATAAGGGCAAAGATGAGCTAAAGGGAAAGGTACCAGCACAGTTCAGAGAAATTTCTGTAGAGTACTTCACTCTATTAGGAGTATTCAGTATCAAACCTCTGAAATATATAATAAATAGTAGAGAATAAGGTTAAGGTAGCATTAAGGTTCTGGGAATTTTAGGTTAATAATTCTATACTGAAAATATTAGCTTTTACAGTTATTTAAAAGTCTATGTGGTTGGAGATTGGAAGTTCATAGTTATATATAAACCTTTTTTAATTCTGGTGTGAGCAAACTGGAAATACAGAAATACTGTGCTTAATCTATGCCATCCTCAGTCATATAGATCAGTGTGCTGCTTTGCAAACTTCATCACCTAAGGTTAGCACTGAAAGTTCTTTGCAGCCTGTGCCTTGGGCAGAAGTTATGACAAAGACTGGAATTCTATTTTTAGAGCTGCATGAGGAATAATCACAGAAGCTGGAGACTGGTCGTTCTGCCAAACAATTTCTAAGTGTAGAGCAAACCCATTATTATGAATTGTTGAATCAAAGCAAGCAGAAAGTTACTTTGAAATGGCTCATTGGCTTTTTTCATCTAGTGAAGCACAATAAAGGACAGGAAACCAAAAGCCCTGTAAGGGAATGGAGCTTTTTCTCTGCCCTAAAAATCATATATCTAAGTCTCTTTCTCTAGGTAGACTTTAGCCTCACTGCTTGGCTGGGTGACCACAATAATCTATTTCAAAGAGTAATGTCCAAGTCTTAAAATAACTTTTGTTTTTACCAGGATCTCTTTAATAAGAAATGGAGAAAAGTTACAAGCTCAGGATCACTTAATTGTTCAGGAATATCTTGACAAACCATTTCTTATGGAAGGCTACAAGTTTGATTTACGTGTGTATATTCTTGTAACCTCCTGTGATCCATTAAAAATATTTTTATATCATGATGGACTGGTGAGAATGGGCACGGAAAAGTATCACCCCCCCAGCGACTCAAATTTGGTAAGTTGGAGTTCATTCCAATTTATTGCTTATGGTATAGACTTTAACCTATGTAGTGTTTGCAGGTGGTAAAATTAAATAAACTGGGACTTGAGTTCATCTGGATAAACTTCTGTATTGTCACTGAAGAGAAAAAATTTTATGTGAAAGATACTTAACACATGGTTTTCTATCAAAATCACAAGTATAGCCACATTATTGCTTATATATAAAATTTTATATGACTTTGCATGTATGTATGCTAAAGAGTTTAAATATATTCTAGAGGAAAGAAAAAGATAACAACCCAAAAAATAAAATCTAATCACTGCAAGAATGGGCACATTGCTTTTATGTTCGTCTGAGACTGAGGCTAGGGTGGCAGGTGCTAATAAGGTTTATCTCCTGCTAGATCATTGCTTAGCTTCATGCTTCATCCATGAAGTTTGAAGCCTTTTTTGAGGGTCCTGCCAGGTTTCAGCCTTTGTGTTGGGAACTGACACAGAAAGGAGAGAACCAGCACTGCAAGTGCTCACTGCAGTCCCTGACAATGAGGGAATCTCCTGCTGCTGCTGCTGTTTGTCAGTGAGAGCCTCAGCAGGGACAGGGGTATGTGCTTGGCAGCTTTAGGGTGATTCAGTAGGGCTGCCGGTAAACACAGAGAAAACCAAGAAATAGTAAGGGTCATGCTAAAGATTTTGCACAATTTCCTCCTCTTGTTCTACTATATAGCAAGTTGCCCTACTGGGGGGTGTAAACCCTTCTCTTTTGGCTCCGACCAAGATGCAGATGTCTAAGAAGAAGTAGATTTGCAGCACTGGAAGATGTTAGTAGATTAGGTTTGTTATACCTCTGTCTGTACTCCATTGCTTTTAGAGCAGCTTCCATGTAATTATGTAACAGAAAACACCATAGAGCCTTTTTGCCTACGTGAAACTTAAAATTCTGACTGTCTCTTGTGTGCCTTTGAAAAACGCAGGTACAATTTGAGGCCCAGTACAAATGCTATATTTGGAAATGTTCCAGTACTATATTTGGAATAGTTTGCTTTTACAATTTGTGTATTGCTGCTAATCTCGGCATTAGCAGCACTGAAATATGCTCTGAGAGGATAAACAGAGCAGGCAGTTGTTTCTATGTTCTCAGAACTGTTCATGCTGGAGGTTGTCTATTGTGTGAAATAACCTGCTTGTCACTAATGACATTGTTCTTTGGATGACATATTTGCACAGTGACATTGTTCCAAATAACTTTGGACTATCAGTTCAGATGCCCAAACACTTTTTTTTTTTTTTGGTAGTCTAACACATAATTACTTTTGTCTGAAATAATTTGAATTTCATGGAAAGATGACTCAAACTCAATATATTTCATAATGATTGTTAAAGGAGTAATGAAGCCATGGGAGAAATTAATTATTTCTAGTGCTACTCATTAATACTGTTAACTCATTTGCTATTATATTGATTGGTTTTTGTAATTTCATTAAGTTTTTTAAAGATAAGGAAGTGTAGTAAGATAAATGACAGCAGAAGGCTTGTGTTATCTATTAAAGATTAATTGGAACAGAAGGCTTATGGTCATCCTAGAATATCATCTACTCTCATGTATGTAATCAAACATGACAGAGAACTGTCACTGTGATGAGGACAGGTATCACCATAGTATAAGTGAAAAACTGAATTAATCTCTCGTATATAGTGTAAATGTACAGATCATGGCTTATAAATTGACCTCAGAAAAGGAATTTATTCTTTAAATACAACAGATATTGTGAGTCTATTGCTGCTGACATTTTGCTCCATAAAGGAACTGTAGCACTCAGTCACTTATGTAACGTATGTTTTGAAATTTACCTCCCTCTGATGTGTGGCTACCAGCCAGTTACAAATGAGCAATTTTGGCAGATATCAGCATGGCAGATGAGTTTATATGTAAAAGATATTTTAAAGTATCACTATCATGAGAACACTTCTCATAAATAAACCACAGTGAAAACTGAAATGTGGGATTGTCTATGAAGCAGATGCCAGAGTATCTTTTAGCACTTTTAAAGTAGCACTTCAAAATACTGACTTTATTGTTTGCTTCTTGTGGAATGTAATCATTCTCTAAGTTATGATAATAGCTCTTTACTTTTTTAGGTAGTTGTTTATATAGAGACCTGTAAAAATGGCAGATACAGTATCTCACCAGATGTAGAGTGGTGGATCAGTTCACTGCATTGGCTTAAGTAGAAGCCCAGGTTTTGTTGTAAGAAGGCTACAGAGCATTCAGTCATGCAATCTTCCAGAATCAGAAACTACATCTGCATATTTTGTATTTGCAAATATGAGCTGTTTGATTATGTCCTTATTGATTTAATGTCAATTTTTCTTTACATGATTTTGAATTTTAGAATGGTTTTTAAAGTTTTTAAAATGTCTTTTCTTCCTTTTTTTAGAGTCAATTGTATATGCATCTGACTAACTACTCTGTCAATAAACATAATGAACACTTTGAACGGGATGAAACAGAAGACAAAGGAAGCAAACGCTCCATCAAATGGTTTACTGAGTTTCTAGAAACAAATAATCTTGATGTCTCCAAATTCTGGAGTGATATTTCAGTAAGATAGACTAAAGCACTTTATTTTATTTTGTGTATTTTTAGAAAATTAATTGCTTCTGCCATCTGCTTTACTGCAATTCAGAATGATTTTTGAAACTTTATTAACCCAGATTTTCAGCAATGGATGTCACAAAGGACATACTATAAACTATTATTATGTTTTTTAAAAGACTAAATTTATAGTCTGATTACAAATTAAATGTTGGCATTTTTTCTGAGGTTCAAAAGTCCTTTCAAGCAGTTATTGACATAAGTAATATGGTACAAAGGACTCATGCTATTTAAACTCTTGGTGACTTTATTTTAGTATATAAAGTGAACTTTATGTGTAAATATTTACAAAATTGTAGTCAGTATTGCATATATCTTTGTACTTACTCAAGCACCATTGAAGTGGTTGTTTTACAGGTATCTTTAGATGAGGAATAGGCTTGATTGTTAGAGCTTAAAGCTGTTTGTATGATTCTGAGAAGACTTACCCAAAATTATACTGAAAAATGAAATGGATGAAGAATGGCTATACTATACTATGTTACCAATTTGCTTTTATTATTTAACTTATTGCAAGTCTCAAAATTTATATGTACCATGGAAATTACAACAATAGTCTAGAACTATATAAAGTTATATATGGTACTACATAGGAATAGTTTGTTTACTATAGACTATTTATTTGGTATTTTAAATCTTTTTTTTCTAGTAGATATGTACATGAAATTGAAGATATTAAAGCACTGTAGTTCAGTGTGTGCTGGTGTTTTCTCTCCTGATGAATTTTTCTGACCCAAATCCCTGCAGGAGCTGGTGGTGAAGACTCTGATAGTTGCAGAGCCACATGTGCTTCACGCTTATCGCATGTGCAGGCCAGGGCAAGCACCAGGAAGTGACAGTGTCTGCTTTGAAGTCCTGGGATTTGATATTCTGCTGGACAGAAAACTAAAACCATGGCTCCTAGAGGTAAACCTCTTTATACAGATGTAAAGTACATTTTTAGGCATAAAGTTAACTAAGCCTCAGATGAATCCATATCTATGTAAGAAAACCTGCAAGGAAAATCTGTGCACTGTTGTTGAGTACATAAATGCTGCTTTTCTGCAGCATCCATGCAGAAGTGCAGTATCATCTTGCAGTGATTTTTGATACTGAAAAAAGGTTATTGTTTTCATAGACCGATATTGCATTTCAGATATTTTTGAAAGTTTTAATGGGAAATGTAACATTAATGTAATTGTTATTGTAGCTGGAGGACCTTGATTATAGCAAGTGGGTGCTACATAGATTTCCTTCATGAGTATGGCTATGTAATATGGCTCTGGTAACTTCTGTGGATGTGTTAATCTTCTCCTTTGTGGAAATCTGTTCTTTTCCTTTTTGTGTTAATCTTTTCCTTTTCGTGGATATGTGTTCTTTTCCTCTCCTGTGCTTTTTAAAAGCACTGCCATAAACAGAGAAAACAAATTTGAGATACAGGAAATTCTGCAAACAATTGGTATGATGGGATTGGAAGAAGCATTTCTTCTCTGATATGTTTCTTAGTGATACAGTTAAATTAAGTGGTGCTCACACACATTTTCAACCAGAAATGTTTGAACTTTGTCTGTTGTGTCTCTTATATTGCCCTATTAATAACTTATAGATGACATTCACTTGTCTTTTTTCAGATTGTCTTATTTCATTCTGTTAACTAGTTGGGGAGCTGTGCAGCTTGGGGAAAAAAGCAAAATGTATTCAAAATCTTTCTATTGACAGCAAGTCATGAATATGATTTGGCGACTGATGAACAAAATGTACACAATTAACTTACTGAATTATAACCTCATTTGCAGGCCATTAATACTGTCAACAGTTGTTTTGTCGTGCTTATTTCTCTCAGGGATTCATTATAATTTTAATTAGAAAAATAAAATTCCTCCACTGTTGCCATGCAGACATAGCATATTTGGTGGCTTTGATGTTCTCGCCAACAGCAGCGCATGACATGAACTTAGTCTGTACTACATCAACATCTTCTGTTTTTGTCCAGTGAAGCTTGCTGTCCCTTTGATTTAGCACTGCACTTCCAGATTATCATCTGTAGGTTGCCTGTAGCTTGCATATAACTGTGTGTAGTTATTGGAGTGCAGCCTGAAGGGTCTGTGTAACATTTCATTCAGCCTTATAGCAAATGCTGACAGATCAGTTCTGTGAGAGGTGGTGAGTCAGCCAGCACAGGGAGTCCATCCTGAAGGACACCTCTCTGTCTGCTCTGATGTTTCCATGAGCTATGGAGATTTTGGGGGGTTTGAGTCACCACTTACGGGTCTAAGAGGAGAATATATTATCCCAAACTCCTTGTTTAGGAGGGAGTAAAGTAGTAAATGCTCCTGGTATTTGGAGTTGCTGGAGAATACTTCAGGACTTGGAATTGTGTACCTAGTTATTACTTTTCTTAAAAGCAAAAGTCCAAGTATTTCCTTTTCTGCTTTTGGTAATACATGTACCCTTCAGCTTGTTTTGCCAGACATTTACCAAAACTAACAGAAATTTCAAACTTTGAAACTTGCTAATTTTGCATACTCATTTACTATTTTTTACCTTGCTTGTTCATGCTTTTTTGCAGCACTTCCAACAGTGTGTCGATGTATGCACATTGTATGTATGCTGTGTGTAATGTAGTAAAGGTCAAATCTGCAGTCTATGTACATAGACCACACATTATATAAAGTCTGTGTGTGTATATATATATATATGCATATATATAGATAATTATTTTTTTCTAAAACACTTGTGCTACTTCCACAGATTTCCACTCTTATCTCTTTCCACCATTTTCCTCTTGCCAAAACCCCCTTAGGGGAGTGAATCATTCTTTCTAACAGTGGTAACAAGTCCTAATCACAAGGCCCTGAATGTTCCCAGTGTTATGGGAAAATTGCCAAAGTAGGATTAGGATGATTAGTTTCATGTTTCCATGCCTCATGTAGCTTTTCTGTTATAAAGATAGCTTAACAAACTATTAAAAGAAATAAATTGTGCAACATATTATAATGTTTCTGCTTTCCTGAGTTGACTTTTGTTCATATTGCTTTGATGCATTGTAACTCCCCTGCTCCTTGATGCTATTGAACTTCCGGAACCTTCTACCATAGTGAGGGTTGTGGGAAATGCAGGATTGCCATCTTGTGGCACCAAGTGTTTCTGTCAAGGATCTGTGCAGCCTCCATCCTTTCTGAGTAGCAACAATGACCTAGACCTCCCTTCAATTCCCAGGAAATACAGTTTTACTTTTTGACCAAAATTTCCAAGTTACTTTATTTTATGTAAAAGAAAACCATACAGTTGAAGTTCTTGGATGGACTCCAGCCTTGTTCACTTCAGTTAGGATCACACAGTTGTGATCATTGGAGAAAAAGATAACTTGCATTTTAATAACTTCCTCAAGCGCAGGGTACCTAACTTCCTTTTTGATTTATGTGGGCAAGGCAAAGGAAATTTTACATACACATTCAGAAATCTATTATTTACTGTCACTGAGATGTGTTCAAAATCTGTTCAAAACTTTGTTATCAATCCAGGTGAAATGAATGTGAACATTTTAAACCAATCAATTATTGCTAATTCCTAATAATGAAGTAGTTAAAGTTCACATACACAAACTTTCTGGCATCTGCTTGTTTCTCTTGTGTGATGCTTGCCCTGTTTGTATCTGTGGAGGTCCAAAGGCCACCATGGGGTAGGAGAACACACTCTTGATGGTGAAGTTTTCTTCATCTTTGCTCTTAATTTCATGTTGGTTTTTTTTTTTGGTTTGCTGCCATGATCTACTTACTGGCTGTTCATTTACTGGCCAGCAATTGCACATGGTCTCCAAATTTTACCACAAGTCCTTTACAGCTCCTGGAATCATGCCATGTGCTTTCTTTGTTACCTCTAGACCCAGTATTATCTAGTTTACAACACTGCATTCCTGTAGTGAACACAATTTGACCACTGGCATCAGTATCCAGATTTTCAAGGCCTTTGCAATCATCATTCGCTTGTACTTTTGGGGTCCCTCATACAATGCTGTTTTTGACAACAATCTTCAAGATATGCCTTGTGGATAAAATTACTGTTATATTAACACAAGCTAGTTGTGCATGTCCTGGTTCTTGGGTCACTGAACTCTAAAGAACCATCTCCCAGCTGGCAGATGCACAGACAATGGTTTGGTAAGCTGTTATTGTGAATAGCTATTGTGGCATATCACTAGTAGGTTATCAGGATTACAATGCCACAGTCATACAGATTAGTCAGCAACCATATTTATTGTCTTCTTTGTGATATGGTAGTAGATAAACAGGTTAGTCTAAAGAGGTTGGTCAATTAAATATTTGGATGAAAGTCTTCCAAAAAAGAATATGTATAAATCTTTTCACTATTTCTGCTGAATTTTCAAGATTTTTCTTTCAACATCAGATCTCACTGCTCACTTTGCCAGTCTGTCTGCAAAAGCAGCAAAGGGGCTGATTGCCAAAGGTGAAAGATACCTGTCAATTATGAGCATGAGTGATGGGACAGCTGGGACACAGCAACAGGACACTGTTGGGTGGCACAGCATCCATGTTAGTTCTGTCCTACAACTGCAGTGGCTCTAAGATGCTCTAATATATTTAGAGTGTAAAACAAAAGAAACTGCTTAGGCCCTCTATTTTGGACATGCAAACTGTCTCCCACTTCTGATTTGTGTGTGGTCCAAGTCATTAGTTTTCACTTATGAAGCTCTTTTTTTATCTGTACCTTCTGTAACCAGCACTGCTCATGCACTATCAAAGTGAGATTCCTACTTGTCATTGGCACCCATTACCCAAGTACAAATTTTTATACCAGCCTGGAAAGAGTTCCTAGAATAAATCATTGTTCCTCCTCAAATCTTCCTGAGAACTGAGGTTCTGCAGGGAGTCCAAAACTTGTCAGGGTTATAGGATGTCAAGTGTATGATTTAGTCTCACTAAGAGATTCCCAGCTGCATTTTTCTTGTTTCTCTATATTTATGGTAAAATTTTTAATCTCTAATCTTGTACTTAGCTTGTAAGCTTTTTGTTGTGGAGACTGTTAATTATCTTATGTTTTCACACTATGTACTGATTTAATGGCTTAGATCTCTACGTGTTGCTGTCAGGTGTATCTGAAAAGTTATTTAATATGCTTAAAAAGACCTTGGATTAGAGCCTCTTTCTGTCCCTTTATAGTTGTTACTTTTTAGAGTAGTATTTAAAGTTTCTTTCAGACTGGGAACTAGAAAAGTTCTTTCTGTGCCGGATCACCACGTGGTGCCAGCATGGCACATCATCTGTTATGATGTGTTTAACAGCACTTTGTGTGGTAAATTTTCTGGTGGCAGCAGCCAAGAGTAGATTAGACTGGATTCACAATGGCAGGACTTGAATGGTGTTCACTGTAAATGTCTGGATAACCTGGTGACTGAAATGGTACATTTCCCAGCTTCCAGTATCTGTGATACTCAGTACTCTATTTAAAAAATATACAAATGGAAAAGACCTTCTCAACATGTATTCTCTTAATCTCTGCTGTATTTGAAAGAGCCATTTCTACAAAGCCTGTTACAATAGGTGTGTTCCCAGTGAACCTGAACATTCCTGAGTCTTCTGTGTCTCATTTTTTTTTCAGATTAATCGTGCCCCAAGCTTTGGAACAGATCAAAAAATAGACTATGATGTAAAAAAAGGTGTTCTGCTAAATGCATTAAAGCTTCTCAACATACGGTAGGTACCTTGTCCTCTTTTCTTCAGTCTGGCTCTATTTCTGTTGCTTTGATTTTTTTATTTAATAAATTTAAATTGGACTTAGAGGAAAAGAAAAACCTTTTTTCCCACCTTCATATTTTCAAAATGTAAATGTTTCCCTTGCTGTCAGTTTTGCAATAGAAATTAACCTAAATTTAATTTTTCTTCATGCATATATGCTTGCAAAAATGAATGGTAATATTAATTTTCATACTTATTTTTAAAAATTTTTCAAAGACATCTTGAAGTTGGCATATGTGCAGTCATGGGTACATGGCCATAAAGGAAATTTACTTGAGTGATAGTGTCACATTCAGTCAAAAGCCATACCCCTCTAGAGGAAAACTTTGTAGCTGAGATATGTTGAAAGAAATTTACACCTCAGGAAAATAGATACAACCATGTTTGTACATTAAATTGTAGCACAGAGTATATACAGTATCCATTAAAGTGTTAAAATTTTATAGCCATGAATGTTAATATTAAAAAAAAATCTTAATTAGTGTTTCAATTCTAATTTTATGTGATAAGCACGTCTGACTGGAAAATACAGATTATTTCCTTGATATGAAAGTTCATATAATTTTGACTGCATTGAATTGATATTTCTTAATATCATCTGTGTTTCAGGACAAGTGATAAAAGGAAAAATTTAGCCCAGCAGAAGGCTGAGGCTCAAAAAAGGCTGTATGGTCAAGGGTCAGTGAAAAAACTGTTGCCAGGTTCCTCAGACTGGGAGAAGCAGCGCCACACACTGGAAAGAAGAAAACAAGAACTGGTAGGAAGGGAAAAAAAGTGCTGTTTCTTCCTCATGGTTTATATTCTCTTTTGTTTTAATTGTCTTACTTTCTTGATTTGTAGAAGGAAAGACTTGCACAAGTACGTAAACAGATTTCCAAAGAGGAGCATGAAAATAGACACATGGGGAATTACAGGTGAATGTTTTTGACTGTATTAGTAGGAAATATTCAGTGTATTCTTTAGGAACAGTGGAAACAAGTATTTGTGGTAGATGATAATTTTATGCCAAAAATGTGTAGGCATTTATGGAAAATATGTACATATACATCAGGTATCTTTTTCCAGCTGGTTCTTTTCTTGATTCCAATTTTTTCCATGCACTTAGGAATTTATATGGCATCAGTCACCCTATTGTTCGTGCAAGACATTTGCTTCAAAGACATGATTGCTCACATTCAGTGTACCAAGAATCATGATTGTTGTTATGGACCTGTTCTCTAATCACATATGATCATTCTTATCATGGTGGCAGGGGGTGCAGTATGATATTCCCCTGTAAAAATGTCATATGAATTGTGTCTCTGAGGCTTGCCAAAAATCCTGAAACTTTATGGGTGCTTCCATAATTTTGAATAGTGTGACATTTGAAATACTTTACTTTTATTTTTGCATTTTGATTTTTGATCTTGGTAGGCTGAAATGTGAGTATCTTCAGATTCCTTGCTAAAATATGTTCAAAAGAGAGTTTTACATTGTCAGTTTCAACAGGCATTGACCAGAAAACAAGAATTTTGTTTTGTGATGTTTTTGTTATTTTTTCTTGTTATTTGCTTCATTGAGAATGGCCTAGGAATATTTGGTGAAAAGGAGCAGAGTGTGGCTAGTAATATATGATGGGAATATTTGCCCATTATTTATAACATTCATCCTGAATGTTAGAACATATTTTATTGTGAACTACTCAGAATGCCTTTATTGCTGTTCTTCATTGCTGCCTTTTTTTTGAGCAGATGTTGTATATTTCCCAGTAAAATTCTCATTTAAACAGATAGATGTTTCTGTGAAATTCACATTTTTTTATGATTTAACATTTTGCTTACAAAGACTCTTTCTTTGTAATTTTTAATTACATATTTTCTTGATGTGTGGAGCTGAACTAGTAAGTAAAAAAAAAAACCAACTCTAGATGTACAATGAAGTGACAAAATGGTTATTTTCATGCTACTTAAAGAAAGAAATGCACTATGATGCTTTAACACATTTTTCTTTTTGCTAACTTAAATGTCTAGCTTATTAACTGATCACATTTTAAGTTGCATTTTCAGTTCTTGACTGAAAATCAGACACATGGTCCTTTATTTAGCTTTTGGGTTGATGTAAATCATTAAAAGCCAAATTTTTTTCCTCAGGAAGAAATGAAGTGTCACTTCTTGAGGAATCTGAGTAACTTTTAAAAAGGCAGAATAGCTTTGTGTTTTCTTATTACCGTGTCTTTGAGAAAAGGCTGAAGGATCAGCAGAACATGAGAAAGAAGTAATTTTGGCTAGAGAAGAAGAGGAATTTTATCTGAGAGTTGTGCAGTATTTTCTCCATGTGATATTCTTCTGTAGAGCAGGACTGGCTTGTGTCAGGCATTGAGATAGAATCATGGAAATTCTGGATGCTAGTATTGCTGAATGGATTAATATTGCACTCTGAATAAAAATCCAGAGAAACCTTAGTCAGACTCAGGTGATTTGATTTAATCTGTGGATGTCAGCTCAGCAATTGTCTTAGTCCATGTCTGCAAGCACAGCAGGCTCCAGGAGGAGTCTTGGGGCAGCTGAAGTAGGACCCACACTTTCAAGCTCTTGTGAAATCATGAGGAATTGGAAAGGATGTACATGGCTTTGAATGGCCTTTAGCTGCAGTCTGTTCTAAATACATTAAGAATATTACCCTTTCTTTAAAGCATTCTTGTATGGCTTTTTTTTTCTGCAGTAGAATCAACACCATTAAAAGATGTTGACTGAAACTAAATTGGAACCTAAATCTCCTTTAGGTGTTTAATGCAAACTGGAAGCATCTTCATTTGGTTGTACAACTGCCCTGAGACTAATGGTATCAAATCATCCTTTTTTTCATTGCAACAAAATCCTCATGATAGATACCTTTTCAAGGAGAAAATGTCAAAAAAGGAACAACGAGAAAAAAAGAAACTTGTAACAACTTTAAAAAAATAAGTTAGAAAAGACTCACAAATACAAAGAAGTCACATAATGTCATGCACTGTATAAAGGGTGTCCATACCTTACACAGTGCAGACAAATTAACCTATGGGTTACTCCTTACAATACATTAAAAATTAGTCTTCTATCTTAGCCATATTTCTGGCTGTGTTTCGGGTATTCATGACAGATGGATTGGTTTTCTTTAAAGACCATTGTTACGTGATGAACATGAATAAATCACTAAGTCCTGCTTCTGATATTGTCATAATCTCCTTACCTGTGATTTTAGAGAATAATGGCATAGCTGCTCAAAATCAGCCACTGTTTATATCCATGTACCAGATTTTTTTTTCTTTCTTATAGCACCTATTTCTTGCTGTTAATTTTTTGGAGGACTTAGCATTCAAGTGCAGTACATACTTAATCTTTAATTAATATACTGCCCATGGGATCAAGGCTATTGTTCAGATTTTCACTGTTTTGTGTCCTTTGATTGCCAATACAAATTATCTTATGGTTCTGAATTTGACATACAATATTTTGTTAATATTTCATGAATCATTTACACCTGTATGTATCACTCATACCCACTGAAATTTCTGAGCGCTGCAAAACTGGGTTTTGGTATACCTCTGGAATGACCTACATGGTATTCCTTTTGACTGGCTAATTGCTGGCTTAAACATGAATGTGTTCACTGAAATAGAAGTAGATTTAGAGAGCAATGGTCAGAGTATAAGTTTTATGATTTTATATTATTTAATTATTATAGATGGGATGCCTACATGTTAAAAAAGAGACTGTGTATTAGTGACATTACTTTTGTGTGATGAATACCTCAGCTTCTAACTTAAACTGTTCTTTTTTGCCTTTTTCAGGCGAATTTACCCTCCTGATGATAAGACATTACTTGAAAAGTATGAGAGTTTGTTAGCCACCGCTTTCCAGACGTTTCTTGCTGGAAGAGCAGCTTCGCTTCAGCGGGAAATGAATAACCCCTTAAAAAGAATGAAGGTACTGAAGTACACCGAGTTCTGGCTTTAGGAGTTACTTTGAATTCATGACCTCATGGATTAGTTTCACTATTACCACATATGATGGCTGATAAATAGATTTGATAATGTTCCATGATCTTATTCTTTGTGCAGCCTGTGGGTCAGATCCTTGAATCTGGATGAACTGCAGTGGACCCAGGGTGGAGACAGGCTAGATGGCTTTAAGCCATCTAGCTATATCCCTGATCCTCAGCCTTACCCCTGGCCAAACCAGAGGCTGGCAGAAACTGCTTTTGAGCTGATAATTGCCTCCTTCTTCCTCCAGTAATGTTCTCAGCCTATTCATCCACTTGTATGTACTGGAACAAGAGGTACCCTAAAACCAGCTCCACTATTTTAAGGATTTAAGGCATCCAAAAATTTCACCTGATTTGCCTATTTATTTAGTCAGAGACAGTAGAAAAACAGCTATATTAATAACCAGCTAAGATGATATAATTTGAAATCTGAGAAATAGTTTTGCATCTTTGTAGCTGGCATCATCCAACAGTTTTACAGGAATCTTTGTTCAATCCTTTCTAAAGACTTTTTTTAAAAATATATATTGAGACTTGATTTTAACCTTCAATTTCATGTTGCTTGCAAGGAGAGATGCATACATGAGAAGAAATATTTCTATTTCCTCCTATGGAGGAATCCATAGTCCTATTGCAGGAATTAGTAATCAGAATAATTTCAAATTTCTACCACTTTGTGCTTGAATTTTAGAAGGACAGGGTATGTCCTGCTTTGAATTAATAGTAATGAAATTCCCATTTCTAGGAGGAGGACATTTTGGATCTTCTGGAGCAGTGTGAAATAGATGACGAAAAGCTAACGGGAAAATGCAGCAGGCAGCGAGGACCTAAGGTATTTGACTTCTAGATACCAGTTTTTTATTTCACTCTGTAGACAGGTTTTCTGAGAATTTTAAGTGGGGATTTAGTTACCTGATCCAGATGGAAGTTTTCTTCCTCTGACTGCCATTAACCTTTTAAAATTTTTTTTGAAGTATAAATAGAGGTATGACTACCATTTGTGCGACTAAATCCCATTAAATTTTTAAGGGGATATGCTGTCCTTCTTTCCCTCTCTATACCATTTGGAGGAATTGCCAAGCATGGCAACAACTGTTGTATGAGAGATTGATTTCAGTGTGTGAAAGGATTTTTATATCAACAGTGGATCTCAAAAGAATGCTTTCATCTCTAATTGACTAGTGCCAAAATCAGGATTTTTGAGATCATGGGATAAAAGACAGTATGGAAAGTCAAAGAATTAATTACAATTTTGATATATCTATAGCTTACTCCCTTGCTAAGAGGGTTGTACAGTATATCTTGGAACGCATTTTGTATCCAAAATCTGCTTTTAATGTGAATGTATATTATTTTTAGCTTAATGCTTTCTGCTTGTGTGCATAGTTCATGTGAGTCTTTGCCTTAAATAAACTGCATATCTCTAAGCCAGTAAAGATAAATAGTTTGGGCTTGACTAGAATAAGTATGTTTTTTATATCCTGTAAACATTTTAGGTCAAGTCTGCTTAGAAGAGCCTGCATCTCTGTTCTGAGCTTTGATGGATTTGTTTATGGATGCATGTAAATTTTTTTACAGTGTTTTATGTTTCTGATGACATGGTGTACAAATCTGTGGGTATCTGTACAAAATGAATGCTGACAATTGTTCTGAGCTTGAAGAGGTACTTTAAATATGTGCAAGAATCCAAAGAGCTACATCTTATTACAGGCGTGCATTCTGGAAAGAGGATCTACATGCCCAATCTGGTATTAAGATAGATTTGCAGGGACCTCATTAAAATATGGGGATTTTGTGAGCTCATGCTTTAACAGCAGTGGATTCATTTAAACAAGAGAAAAAACCCTCAGTCCACCCTAGCAGTACACTCAGTCCACATTCTTACAGAGATTCTTTTCCTCGAAATTTTGTTTTCAGTTCTTTACCATGGGGTCAGTTATTCAAGTTTAATATCTCAGTCACATTTTTTTCCTTTTTCCAGAACCCTGTCTTTTCCCAGCATCCCTAGAGAGCAGCTATCTGCTTGCCTGTATGCACACTGTTCTATTCCACCTCTACACTCCTTGCTCACAAGGCATTTCCAGGCTGGAGACTGTAACATTTAATTAAACATTAATAGGGTACTAAGCCCAAACTGAGAAACTTCTCTCAATTAGTTTTAAGATGAATTTTGATTAATTTATGAGTAAGACTAAATGCCATGGTCTTCTTTTATAGCAGGCAAATGGATTGTGTAGCTTATAGATGCCTTACTGGTACAATATTGTTTGCAATTAGATGACAAAGAAAAAATTGCTTATGACCAAAATTTCTTTTTTTTCCCCCCTCTAAAATTGATGAAATCAAACCAGAAAACAATGAAACTAGCTTATCCAGGGAGACTGTTTCTTCTCCTTGCAGTGTTCACACTTCATGCTATGCAGGATTCTTATTCCTGCATCTTTTTTGTGGCCCTGATATATTTTTCAATCATTTAAACCTTGCCTACAGTGAAGCCATGTATCAGAGATTTCCCTGGTTGCATAATGTCCTGTGTGCTCCCTTTGAAATACAGATGCCCATACAGATGGTCCTGATATCTTTTTCCAAAAGAGCATCACCTCTTCCCTGTGAGGGTTAAGATGCATATGGCCAGTCATAGGCATTTAATTGGCCACCTTTTTACAAAGAGGCTGCTATGAGATATGTAATGTCTAAATATATAACTATACAGAAATTTAGTGAGTGAGACAGGCAGTAGAAAGTACTATTGCCTGTCAGTCTGTCATGTAATAGAATAATCAAGCTGTAAACCTCATCTTGTAACCATAAAAATCCTATGGATAAAGAACTATTTGCATATTCAGGATCTAATAGGAAAAAACCCAACAAAACAACCACAGGACTGGTACTTTTCATGTCACGTAACCCAACAAGAAAGGTTCTTTGAGAAGATCGTGGAGTCTGTCCCTCCTTAAATTCAGTGGCTGCTCTGCTGACTGAAAGTACTCTTAGGTCAGATGCTCTGCCTCGGGTTGTATTCTTCCTTGAAAAAAACCCATCAGAGTCTCAGAAAACTAAAAAGACAACTGGAATAGTTAGGAGAGAGAAGTGTGCTCCTCCTCATGCTCTCCATACAGAGAAACATATAAACATCTTCATTTCCACATCCATATCTCTGCATAGGAGAGGCTGAGGGCTGTGCACCTATAAATAAATACAAGCTTTGCATCTAACAATTATTCTGTATTTGCTAGGAATTTCACACTTGTTTTTATTCGATGTGATTAGGAATTCAGTGCAGGAAAAAAGAAATCAAGAAGTTCACAGAATGAAGGCATTTTTTCTGCACTTGAATTTTGCGTAGATGGAGAAGGGCATTCTGGAAATGTCCAGTTTATTTATAGCCTCTAGAGGGCTCCTGACACCTACACACTGTCAGGGTTACCCATGTGTGCAGGACAATGGACTAAGGGACTAAAATAAGAGATATTGTAGAGGAAATAAGAAATTAATTTTAATTTTAATTCTTTTGGTATAAGATCCAATGAGTTTAATCACAGAAAAATTGGGTTAGCATAAGGCTAAAATCAAGGTGATGAGCTAGGCAAGATGTGCTAGGCAATCAGATGTCTCTTTAAGAGATCAGTTTATACCCAGATTCAGCTATTATTTGTTATTTATTTTGTAATTTCTTTGATTTTTCTTTTTATTCTTCTTTGCTAATTGATATTGTTTACTGTAGAATATGTGAGGAACATGTATATGATAAGTGGAATAAGATCTATCTTAAAGCCCCTGGGAGCTATGATTGAAAATGTTTGTTATACCTTGTGTAACTCCTCAGGAATGTCTGATCAATATGTCTACATCATACACAGCATTTCATGATAAGAACAGCTATTTTTAATAAAGTGGTTTGTGTTGAGGCACCTTACTTTTATCCCTTTGGCAGACAGATGCATATCAATCTTATATATTCTTTGTGTAACAACAATTGTCAGGGCTCTCCTCAATGCAATGTTCTTCTCTAACTTCTCCTTATCTGGGCTAACAGCTTGGGATGGCATAAACATAATATTAGTTAGTGACAGAAATCCCTTCCCTTCCTTGTCTGGAATGGAAGTTTAGGTAGCATCTATTTCGTAATAAAGTGTATCTTGCAGCAACAGGAGGTTTTGGGGCTTTTTCCTGTTATCCTCATAATAAATCTAGGTTCATTACATTATGCTAAAATGTTAGGAAAATTTAAATTCTTCCTGAGAATTCTTTTTCACTTTGACTCAAAGTATGTCCCGAAATTATGATTTAAATTTTTTTTAATCTGATGTTTAATTGAAATCCATTCAGTAGATGAGGCTATCAGCATAGCTTCTTATACAGCTGAGAGTTACTGGAAAGAAAGTGTGTAGGAAAAAAAGGTGAACCACATAAGCCTACTTAGGAGAACAGATATAATGGAAGATACTGCATTTTTGTGTCTGACTAATGGCAGATGGAAGACAAAAAATTTTCAATTGTAGTTACTGTTCTTGGATCAGTTTCTCTGTCTCCACCTTTTTGGTTTTTGTCTTGCAGTATCCTTGGTAATAGCACAGGATTAATTAGCTAATGACACTGAATCCCATGTGCATATGAGGCACCAAGAACCCCCAGCACAGCTTGCTATATATTCTTTGGTTTCTGCTCTCTGCAGCATGTAGATTAATCACTTTCTTTTTGAAAGTAAAACAAAGTTCCCTGATGTATTTTTCTACTTACATTGATCATTGTTAAGCTGTAGTTTCAGTTATTGGAAATACCAGTGAGGAACCTGAACTGATTGTAAATGGTATTCTGAATCAATTGATTTATGATTTCAAACCATAATTCAGTATGTTTGATAGTGCAATTCATACTTCAAATAATTCCTCTTCCCCCCCACTTATATTATGCTGCTCTTCATGTGACAAGATTAGAATTTAATGAAATATTTAAGCAATTATTCTAAAATCTAGGACAAACTGCCAACTAATTTGGGAGGGTTTATAGCTGCGCAAATATTGCCTGAACCCGCCTTAATCAGGGATCTAGTGTGATAGCAGGCTGTTTCTTTGGGATTCAATTAAATTTCTTGGGTTTTTTTTTCCTTTTTTTTTTTTTAGCCCTTGTGTTCAATGCCAGAAAGTGCACATTCCTTAAGGAAACCTAAGAACCACAGCAGTGACAGTAGCTGTGATAGTGGCAGCAGTGTATCAGAATCGGGAGAAGAAACTGAAAAGGAAGATCACAATGAAAAAAAAGAGAAAAAAGTTTCATATGATGTTGAAGAAAATAAGTACAAATCTTTGGAACGATCAGGTAAGTTAATGATCACTTTTCCAAGGAAGTCATTGACAATGAATTATATAAAATTCCTCAGTCTTTTAGAATGTGTCAACTTTGTATCGCAGGGTTAAACACTGGTTGCTTGTTTCAGTTTCTTTAAAATGTTTTCTAAATTGATAAGTATATACCATGTTATTTTTTGTTTTAGTGATGTATTGTCTGAAAGAATTTTATAATGTAGTTGCATATGTATAATGTTGCTTCTAAAATTTTATTTTTCATAGCAGCATTTATTTAGCTGAAAACTGAATTAAAAAATGCTGTAACTATGCCTTAACAAATGAGAGATACTCAGTCTGCAAATATGGGATCCACTGAGCAAATTTTCTCTCCTGTTTCCCTATCTTTATAGTCAGGAAACCACACACAGAAGTCACATACATTTTGACCTAAAGAGGATGTGCCCTCTCTCATAAATCTCATGTGTGTTATAGTGGATTAGAGTCTGGTTAAACCTGAATATGAGGAAGAAATAAATGTTCCTATAAGTATGTAAATTCTGTATTATTAGGGGATCTGACATGACTGACTTCTGCATAGATAGTTGTTAGTCAACACATATTGTAGTACAACATCTGTGCACACATCGATCATATCCGTTGTTAGTTACAAAGACTGAAAAATGGGTATTAGGAAAATAATAAGTAATAACATCATTAATTTTATATCTCTCCGCAGGTAGAATGAACTGCAAACCTTCAAATAAAAATATAAAGTCTCCATCATCTTCGTCCCCCACACCATCCACAGGTCCAATAAGGCGTTCTGTGAGCTGCCCTCGTTCCATATCAGTCCTCACTATGCAGTCCCAGGGAGCTGAGCAGCGCCCCTTTTCAGCCAAAGCATCTCTCCAAATGCAGAGAACAGCCTCAGTGAACAGGTCTCACTCTTTAAGTCGTAGCCCATCTTCAGCCAGATTCTGTCAGACAGCCACCTTGGGAACTATGAACTCTTCAGGGGTGAGTTAACGCAGCAGTTGCATTCAAAATATGTTCCATTCTTCTCTTAAACTCAATAAATACACCAGTAATTTTTGCAACATCAGAAAACTTGTGGTCCTGTAGTCAAGATTGTTTTGACAGACACAAGAGCATATAAGATCTCTAGACCTGTGTGTGCTATGGAGTGAGCGCCAGCTGTGATGTCTCAGTGTTCGTGGTGCAGCAATACAGATGTTACATTTTGTAGAAATGGGTGTCTAAGAGAATGGGAAACCTTCACTTTGTGAATGGGAATCTTTCACTTCTGAACAGCCTTTTGAAGATAGAAAGCATTGTGACTGAAACTCTCTTAAAAGTTTTCTGTGATTTGTTTGGGGGCTCCTGGTTCTGAAGTAAGGCTGTACCTACCTTCAAAATCTTTACAGTAACAAAAATACATTCAGATTTCAAACCCAGTGTATAGTCCAAGGGTAAATACATTGTGCCAGAATACAACATTAGGAAGGTTTTGTATGGCTGTCCATTGTAGAAGATGGTGAGATTAATTTTCAGCCTACTCACCTCTTTTGCATATGCTATACCACTGCAAAAAGCTCTACTTCCAAAGTGAGTAACTGAAAATTTATACAGTGCTCATGGTCTTTGTGATTTGCCACTGCAGTGACTGACTCAGAAGCCATTCTCTTTTTTTAAAAAAAATCTTTCATTTGCACCCGCTCCTTCAGACAGACAAGCAGCTGGCCCAAATAATTAATAAATCAGATCAAACACTTTTAATTGTTTAGAATTTGTGTGATTAGTTGTACTTTTCACAATTTACTTCTAGACCATGTACATTTTTTCATTTTGTTAGCACATTGTCTTCCTCTTTGGTATCTCCTTCACAGCCCAGGCATTTCTTCTTTAGTCTTGGGGTGATGGAGCCCATATTCACTTATCCCTAGGCAGTGTTTTCAGGGATCAATCCCCAGCCTTACTCAGGGTTGCATTGCCTGCTGGTGCCAGAGCATTTCCATTTGTGCTTTGATGCCTGACCTATATATTTCATCATCCAAATAATTTGTGCAGAGATGGGGCAAAACAAATTGCCACTTTTAACCCATATTTGCTGCCTCTCTGTATTGTGGTGAGCTTTGATTGTGAGCAATCCTTTTGTAATGCTAATTAACTTACTTCATAGTATTTACTATCTCTAATCATCATTTTTATCTGGTAGAATGCTCATTGTCTGTTTTGTCTTGAGGCTTTGTCTAAATGATGAAAAAGGCTCCTTTTAAAATTGTGTGCTGACATCTTGTGAAACACTCCTTAACATGGTTTTCCATCTTTAAAGTCAGCTAATAGAATTGGAAAGACATTAAGATTGTGTCTTCACAACAACGTGTTAAAGGTATTTTTTATTGCATTAGCTATCTCAAATTTAAAAAGTACCCTTTTATCATCACAATGTACCCTGAGAGTTTAATGAGACAGTGCTAATATGGATTTTTCTATTCACATTAACTTTATATCAAATACAAATTACTGAAAGATTAAAAGCCGTCTTTTACCATCTGATGTTAAAAATGGGCTACTCGCTTAAATTAACATTAGTAAGAAAGCATACTCTCTTTTTCATTGAGAAAGCTCCACCACAGAAATGATCTTGATCTTGATGTGCAGAACAATTACTTTGGGTGATAGAGCTTAGGTCATGCTTCCTAAAAATTATGTGAATAAAATTACTTACAGAATGGATAAGAATTACTTATAATTTAGCACTGTATTCTGAATGGAACTCTGTTCATAATTACTTTTGCAACTAAGAATAATATATTATATACTACTGCTAGAATACCATTAAAATTGATAAACTGTGACTTACTGAGAAGAAATCATTTGTGCATGATAAAGTGTTAGTTTATCTATCCTTTGGGCAAGAAAAGAGCAGTACGCTGCCATTTTTGGCGTCTGCTGAGATCCAAATGTTCTAAACATAGGGAAACAAAATTTAAAATAAATCATTTAGAGCTGGGAATTACAGACACATTCTTATAGGAGTTATAAGCAAAAGTGGATTTCAAAGTATTTGGTATATTATTATTTCAGCCATATTAACAGATTATCAAATACCAGAGTATTTTTTTGTACTTGAAAATATTTATCACTCACTTAAATAAAAATATCCTTAAGTATTGCAGTTGTTACAGAATACAAAGATTAGAAGTGCCTAAAAGTTTTGAATTTCACTCTGGAAAAATGTTAAAATTAGACTGACTTGGTCTTGCAAATGTGAAAATGTAAAAGTATGTGAAAGTAAAGAGGATCAGAAACACTTCTAACTAGCATGTCATGTTTTAAAGAAGAACCCCAAATCCCCCAGAGATGGCCTTCTGCAGACCCTGCAGGGGTCCAGATCAGTGTTGGTGTAAAAAGCATTGATACTTTCAGCAAAACCCTGGACAACTGGAGGCCCTGTCAGACCCCTTACTGACTAAAGCAGCAGACAAGTGGCCTTTTTAATGCTTCCTGAAATGTTGGCCCTGTGATATATTGCCTGTTTATTTTAAATTGTTGAAGTGATGAACTGAAAGGATGCTTTTTATGACTAATAATATTTTTTATTATGTTGAATTTAAATTCAAAGTCTGTTATCTCAGTTTCAAATTTATACTTAAAATTGTGGGCACCATAAATATGTGATATATGTTTGTTTATTTTATTTCAAACAAATGTACATTTTAACTGTTTTTCTTGGATTTCTTGACAACTCTCAGTAATGGTGATGCATTAATGTATGTGAAATATATTAGTTCTGTATTAGATAATATGCCTATGCACTTTAATAATATATTTTATGTCACTCTAGATTTTTTTTTCCTTTGGTCAAACAAACATCTTTGTAATGTGATTTAATGGCACATTTAAAATGTTTTCTTCTGCTTTGTGTTGGCTTTTAGAGTGAGTCTTTGCTGCAACAGAAAACAAAAGAGCAAGAAGTTGCTTTGACAAAAGAGACTCTTCTCCGTATCAATGACTTGAGAGTAAGGTTCCCAGGAAAAACAAATGAAGAATCTGAATTAATTATAGAAGATGTAAGTATCTATAAATAAGAAAGAAGAACAGGATAGACACTGTTTAGGCTACTGAAATGAAGGAAAGTAAAAAGCTCAATCTATGATTCATTAGCTCCTGTGGCCTTAAAACTTCCAGAACTCAGGATAACTCAAAAGAATTTGAAAGCTTGGAGCTTTGCATCCTTTCTGACCTTAAAAGAGCAGCACTGAAAACATTCCTATGTCCTTATAAAATATGTGAGAAATAATCAGGAGGGTTAGGAAAATTCAGTGTTTCATGGTAGAGAGAGTTCAAACTTTTAAGTAAGCCAGGAAGAATGTTACAATTCATATTTCATCTGATATTATTAAAACAGACCCTGACCTGTTTAACTTGCTCTCAAGCAGGCATACTAGAGAACTCAGAACGGTATGCTGCAGGCAGAATGGAGGTTTGAGGGTCATAAAGAACACCAGTCATGTGCTTTTTGGCTCTTGTAGTCTACCAAATTTACCTTTCTCACATCTGATGTTGTCCTGAGCCTTGTAGTTTGGTGTCAAAGACATGTGAAACAATGCCGAAATAAAGGTCAATTAAACCCCAATACTTGATATATAAGCAGAAATTGCATGGTGTCAGCTAACAGGATGGAAAAAAAAAAAAAAAAAAGGATGTTCTCTTCTCATTTTAGAAGGAAAATTAAAGGATTCAAACTAACACCTGTACTTTGATGTAGTGAGCACAGTCCTTGATCTGTTAAAATTCATCTGATCTATTATCTGGCCAGAAATGTCCTGAGCTCTGTGAGCTTCCAGAATGTTGATTATGTTTCTAGTAATCTCTGCAGCTACATTGGCGTGGAAAGGATTTCTCCTGTAGTGATGGTTGATTTGGTGCTGGTGGAAGATAGCACTCAGAGCCAGCAGGCTGGGCTTCTCAGAAGCAGAGCTAGAGCGCTCCATGAGACGCTGTCCGTGGTGCCCCGAGCGCGCGGTTCTGTGCGAGCTGCTGCCAGCGCTCCACCTGGCGCTGCTTCCTCGCACAGCGCCAGCCTGGGGAGCCCCACGCCTTCCTGGGGCAGAGCTCTTGTAAAATTCATCTGGCCATAGCCAATTCCTGGTGGGAAAGAGTTCATCACAGAGGAAAATGAGTGCTGGTGAGGGAGAACTTGTTAAAGGTCTGGAGTAGAGTAGAAAGATAAAATAACAAAATGTGAATAGAAATGTATGTTCGCAGCTTGAGCTATTTTGGTAGCACTTAGGTTTTGTGAGAGTGTTGCAGTACATATATTATTATTTATAGAAAGGATGATTTTCAGGTATATCTAATGTCCCATATGCAGCAAAACCCATCACTATTTAAATAGATCAGCAGTTATACATTCTTGAACTTACTACTCTCAAAAAATCTGAGCTGAGTCAGTCAAGACAACTTTCTAACTGCTTTGTAGTGTATGATTGTCAGAATCAGGTAGAAAGAGGGTGGTATTAAACTGAACCATCACACAGATCTTTGCAAATGTTGTCCCACATAAATTTGCAAATATTTTGCTATTTCTTTTGGAGAAAACTTCTCACAGCAGTCTTTAAGATGCTCACATTTTTAAGGGTTAGGAGCGCTCATGAATGAAAGACCAGCTTTCAGTTGTTTTCATGTGTATTTTTTATCTTGTGTTTTACAATAACCACAGATTATGGATAATTGGAAGTATCATAAAACAAAAGTGTCATCCTATTGGTTGGTAAAACTGGATTCAGCAAAGCAACGAAAAGTAAGTGACATATTTCATTTTCAGAAGGTCATCTAAAGTAGATGCACAGTGTTTCTACTGGTGTTTAGCAGTAGCTGGGATTGACTTGAGATGCCAAAATATAGGCTATTGTTACTAACATAGGTATGCATTAATTAAATTAAAGGACATTATGTTGCTCCATATTTGGAGAAGTATGATTGTTCTGGATTATAATTTAAAAATCAATTTCTCAAAAAATTAGTCTTCTAAAAAAAAGCAAACAAATAAGTGATTAATGCTTACATACCTAAGGTCTAGCTAATGTTCTTAGAAGGGTACTCAGCAGATTTGATTGATAAGGGCTACAGCAGTCAGCAGTTTCAGACCAGGCATATTAAAACTCCATTAGAGGTAGTGATGCTGCACTTGGCTGTTGGAGTATTTGACCCACAGTACTAGAATAGATCATGCTGAATAAAAAATGGACCTACCAAGCAAAGAATTTTGTCCTTTAAGCGTTATTTCAGAAAGACTCCAATAGAAGGTGGTTCTGTCCCTTATTTGACTGGCAGTCATGTTAAACCAAGGGCACATGTACAAAGTCAGGATGACAGAGATTGATGTGCCAGGTTGTTACTTGCAAAAACTGCACAATCAGAAATGTGGACTTTTTGCTCTTCTTGTGAGGACATCTTTTACAACTTTAAGAGACTTATAACTCCTAAAGCACTAGTGAGCCCTTCATCTTTGCTTGCACTGGAAATGATTTGCCTGTTTTTTAAACTGCTTTTAACCTCAATCCCTTCAAGCAATCAGATAGTTATTCTTAGAAGGGTAGTTTATAAAAACGGATTAACTTTGACAATGACATTGCAGCTGAGGACTGCCAAATGTCTTTTGTTGATTTGAAAGAAGTATGTTTTATATTCCAATGAGGTGGGTGAAGGAGAAATGAGCAAGGTGGAGAATATTTATGCAAGTAAGGAATCTGTCTCAAAGGTACCTTTCACAACTTTGTGAAATACAAAACAGAATCTCAGTCCCCTTCACTCTTACTTACTGGGAAATTCTAACACACAAGAAGAAAATACCTGGGCAATGTACTAGATTGCACAGTGTTCATACCTGACAGCTGTATTTGCTTAACAATTATTCAACATGATACAGAAATTTAAACTTACACTTATATTCTTAGTGTGTAATGTTCTGGCATTACAGCATGGGTACAGGAGGCATTCAGAAGTAAGTTGAGAGTAAACCAATTAAATCAATTCATGTTAAAAAGAAATTGAACCTCTAAGACTTTCAATAAAAAGAGATTTTTGTATGGGAGGAGTTATGACTGCTTTATGTTGCATCACTTTACATAATTTTTTTTAAAAGTGTTTTGATGGTTACCAGAGGGTTTTGAATATGCCCTTTCATAACATCTTGTTCTGCTATACCTAGATAATTTGTTTTCTTAAAGTAAATGATGTAAATTAAAGAGAAAAATGAAGGCAAGCTAGGGAAATTAACTTGGAAAAATGAAGATGTAGGTTTCATGAAGTTCCAGCCCTTGTGCAATGCCTTGTCTCTTTTCTTAAATGGATGATTCTTTTTGCCATGTTTGCAAACTAAGGACAATTAACCAGCACATTTCCTGCTCTGGCATATTGGCAATATCAGCACAGTAAAAACAGCAAGAAAGATTTTTTTTTTTTTTTCCCAGAGTACTTGGCAGTCTGTGGCTTGCTCTAAGATGTTTAGTTCTTAGTTTTCTTCAACTCCAGGTACTACAGTAAAAGAAAAAGCTCTACACTGGCATCGTTGTTCTTAGCTTATGTCTTTTGGACTAGTGAGAGAGTCTGTACAGGGTGGTATTGTTCTTTTTCACACAGGGAGATACTATTAGTTTGTGTAACATTGCAAAGAAATGTAGGGCTGATTCTTATGTGCTTTAGGGACTGAGTTGTTTCGTGTGTTTGACCAAGGATACTGGTCATGTGTGTGGGAATGGCTTGGACAGGTGAGACACAAGGAAAAGGGCTTGAGAAGCATGAAGGCTAATGCTGCTAAGGAAGTGTCCCATGTCCTACAGCCATGGGACAGTCCAAAACCTGGGCTTAGCTCCTGCTGTCACTAAAAAAGATCAGCACCCTTAACACATTTTAATATATTACTCCTTCTATTTCGCTCTTTGGGAGGAGTAGGCCATGGGTGTGGGTTTTAGTGCATTAGATACCTGCATTCATAAAGATTCCCAACAGAAAGGACAGTATTGTATTTACTTTGGGCTATTATGTGCATGGAATTACTGCAAGTCCTGTGCATGCAGACTAATCTCAGGTCTTCAAAAAGAGTTTAAATAACATGGGAAAAACCATATTTCATCAAGGCTTTCATTATTAGCTATCTATAGATTTTCTGCCCATTAAGCATACTAAACAGCTTCCTTGTGCTGTTGCAAGCATTTTGTATATTTAAGCTTTGTTTCCTTCATTGTCAGACAATTTATAAACAACAGTTTGTTGTGTAGGATCTAAAAATTGCAATTCCACACTATTCTTCCATAATTTACTGTTCTACTAAATCTCTTTCACCTTTTGAGAACCATGATTCATCATGTGAATCAGTTTGTCTTACATATCTGAAAGTTTCCAGGGAAAGCATTGTACCTTCTAATTTATAAAATCTTATACCAAATTAGCAAATACCTCCATCTGTTTACCACCCACTTGTGTTGTTGTTTTTTTGGAAGATGCTGTTATGCAAAAGAGGCAGAGAGAGTGTTTCCTTTAAAGGAAATTTCATGGATTTAACTGGCTTTTTTGTTGATAATTTACATGCACTGTAGGCTTTTTATAGGACAGATTTTACACTGCTCAGAGTGTCAATATTTGGTCTAAATACTACTTTGGTCCGAAGATATTCCCAGACTTATTGACATTATCTAAATAGACAGAATCCAAGACACTCTGGAGTCTGATTCTCTCCAGGGATTATGAAGGGAACATAGAGGAGTGAGTTAAGAACTTCCAGATATTTAATAGCGCATGATGAATCCCACCTTCCTTCCATGCCCCAGTTCAGTGGGATGTGCAAAGGTGTATGCAGGACTCTGGTAAGTTGGGTGTGCAGCTGTCTAGCACTATACTGAGTGCAGCTCAGTCTTTATCCTCTTGCATTTAAATGTAGCCCGTATGTAATAAATCCATGGTGTGCCTATAAATGTTTCTATTTTAAATATCTTGCTGATTGTTTTCTTACTTACTGATTTCACTACTGTCTCTTGCCAGGTACGCTAACATGGTTTGATCCAGGGTAACACTGAGCTCAAACAGACATTAAACCAAAGGCAGTTTGTAGTTTATCAGGACATTTTAGTTCTTTATAAAATAGATGTTATTTTACAAAGGAGTGGGAAAAGAAGATATACAATGCTTGGGTTAATTAAGTTACTTCTAGTCTTTAATTGTGTCCATTTTGTTTCTTTTTACCCTTTCTGTCATTTAAATGAGCTAGTATTGAACAGACTGAAAAAACAGAAATTAACTTTTCAGTAATAAAAATAAAATACTTTGATTTGGCTTTGCAAAATGTTACTAACAGAAAGAACATGTAATAAAAGTTAGCTGATGACTGCATAGAAATGAACCCCCGACCTCTGTAGGAATGTACAGGTATGCAGTCGTATGTACAGGGATAGCTGTCTCTATGCATGCAGGCATCAGCCATCAGTTGTGTTTTGGTTTTGAAAAATGTCTTTGATTTACTTGGAATGCTCTTTCCTAGGTTTTGGATATAGTCAGGACAAGTGTCCGTGCAGTTCTACAGCATGTCTGGAAAGCTCCAGACATTGAAAATTTACATCTCTACCGTCTTTTTAACCGTGTGTTTAATCGCTTACTTTGGAGCCATGGTCAAGGCCTATGGAACTGTTTCTGTAATTCAGGGTAAGCTGATGTTTCTTTTCTTTTTCTTCTCCTTCCTAATTTCACAATTACAATCAGTGCTGCCATACTTTTTTGCTCATCTTCATTCCCAAGAACGATGCAATACATTGAACTTGTTTTAAAAGCACCTTAAGATACATAGTTGAACTAAATCTAGCAATCAGGGCCAACGTTTTCAGAAATGGAATCAAACATTAAGTAATGTATTTGCAAATTTAATAATCTAAGGAAAAAAACTGATATTCAAAATATTTCAGCCTTAAGTCAACTCTTTTGCTGGATGGTGCATGATTTTTAGGCCACACCACTGTGTCTAACATGGACTTGCCATCAAAAGAAATCTTAATATTTATTTATGCTCCAGACTCATAAAGAGAGTTCAGTCACAAGTGCAGCTGACATCTCACACCAGATGCAATGTCACTTCTGTGATTTACTAATAAACAGTTCAAATTTTTGTGCTTGATTACATTCACTGTTTCCCATACTGGTAGAAAGTTAAGTATATGCAGAATATGAAATGTCCATGTAAGCAGATGTTTTGGTTTGGGTAGTAAATACAAGTTTTTTACAGGGAAGAGAAGATCTGGACATGTAAGTTCAATAACCTATACTTCAGAGTCTACATTCCTGAAATCAAAGGCATTGGTAGAAATACAGTCATTTATCATATGTGGAGAACTCACATATTGCCCTTGTTAATTGTTTCCCAAGAAAATGGATAACAAGAAGAGGGATATGAGGGGTCCAAAAGATAAACAGGTCTTTTATCATCATCTCATTGCTGAAGGCTTGTTGGTGTGCAAGCTGTTAGGATTCTTTACAATTTTTTCTTTTCTTCATGCTAGCAGAGGTGTGTGAAGTCTTGAGTACAAGATCAATTCTTTTGTTGTCATAAAATAAGTGGAGCTATTCTTTGACAAAGATCCAGTTCCTTGTAAGAGTTGTTACATAAAAGATTCTAAAAATACTGTAGAATATATAAATATCCAGTAGGTATAATGATCACTCTGCATGCAAAGCACTTCTTACAGATAATACAGAATTCATGGAAGAAAACAAAAAGGCTGTTTGCACATTGCCAGTATGTTGTTTATTCAGTTACAAGCATCCTTCTTGCCCCATAACACACAACCGAGAACTCATGGCAGTACCTCGGTAGCAGAGAGGTCAACTTCTCATCACTCTTCCCCAAGAGTTCATTGTGCCATTTTTAAGAACAGACTGGAATAAACATTGGTTGTGTGTAGAATTTGGAGAAATATGTTGGGAAAGAGATATTAACGTGCTGATTCAGAAACAACATTACTATATGAAAATACTTTAAGGAGTGTAGTGTGTTCACTATTCATAAGATACATGTCTTGGGAGAAGAGTGAAGCTAACGGCATTAAGGTTTCCTCTTGCTGGTTAGATCTCTGCTAGGTATGTGCTATTTTAATGAAAAGAAAGAACAAAGAAAATATCTGTGAAAAAAGGTGATATAAAGGGTTTCATAAAGGTTTGTTTTACTGTATAACAAACAATTAAAACTAATAGAAGAAAACTAGATGAACCAGTTGACTTCAGATGATTATAAAAAGTATAACACATGATTGACCACATTGCACAATCCAGTATAATGCTCTTTTTTTATCTGGTGAGGAGTCTGTGATTTCTTACTAATGTATGGAAGCTAAAGTTACAGCATAACCAATTAAATTTAGGAAACAGAATTCTGATCCCTTTTGATTGCAGTACAGTGGAGAATAAACTGAATCTGTGTAACACATGGAGGAAGTTGCACAGGCACATTTATATGAAAGCTCATTAAAATTCATGTGTATGTTTCCAAATCTCAGCTTTTGTGAGATTTGAAACTCATGACTATGTTCATAGTCAGCCACAGTTGCAGCAGGCCATATATTATTTGTCAATGAAAAAATGCCACTTAACTGTAGAAAAGTTATCACAAAGTCCAGAACCTAAGGAATTAAGGAATTTATCAGGAAAGTTTTTTCTACAGGATTTCTGAGTGAATTGAGTGAATTATAATAGAATTATGTGTAGCAATGTGAATCTGTTGAAGGAATGTAATACTTGGACTGTCATTTTGCTACTTTCTACCAACATGACTTCATGAGGAAAGACTGAAGACAATAGATTAATTTCTATTAAAATTTCTATAAAAATACATGCGGACAGTTCCCAGACAGAAAACAATTGGGAAAAAATATATGAAAGAAAAGTAGTAGTATGACTCAATGATCTTAAGAGGTCATTTCCAACCTAAATGATTCTATGATTATTCAGTTTGTGAAATAAAAGTTTTGACGTATACAAACAATACTTAAACAATTGTGTGAATAATAATTAAAGACAAATGCTTGCATCATTGAAATTTATGTTTGCAATGGAAATTCTGTAGAACTGAATGTTTTCATGGAACATACCATCCGGACAGAGGAGCCAGGCTGACAAATCAGTTAGCTATACATGCAGGTCATCTTTTAGTCATTAATGGTCTTAATTGCATCCTAATCATAGAATCATTGACTCATACAATGTTAAGGGGTTGGAATAGACCTTAAAGGTTATCTAGTCCCAGCCCCCCAGCCATGGACAGGAACACCTCCCTCTAGACCAGCTTGCTCAAGGCCTGATCCAGCCTGGCTTTGACCACTGTCAGGATTGGGACATCCACAGCCTCCCTGGGAAACCTTTGCAGTGTCTCACCACCCTCACAGTGAAATGCAGCTCAGTTTAAAAAATGTTACTAGGCAGGAGTGAGCTTGCTGGTTCTGTGATGTTGTTTAAAGGATGAACTTTCTACATGGGCATTGTGTAATCTACTGCTGATCTCTGTGGGCAAGGCTGAATCAGCCTGGATGCTACGTTGAAGCCAGATGCAGCAAATTTTCCTCATTCTGTGAAGTGCTTCTTTCGTACACAAAGAAAAAAGCTCAAGCTTACAAACCATCTGTGCTACTGGATAATAATTTTGTCCAAAAAAAGTCTTCACAAGCACCATATTGCCTTTTAAAACTGATTGAATGATCTATAATTTGGTCAGAATTTTGCACGAACAAGAACGCTGAGATGTATGCAAAGAACTATTTATTGTAGTCTTCTGCGCTGAAACACACCTGGTTTATATTGATGTGGTAGGCCTTGGTGGCTTTTTTCTTCTCAAAGAAAAATGGCTTCTTAAGTAAACAAAAGGAAATTTTATAGATGTACTCTGCAAATTGCACTTAATTGTAGATAACCAACCCATGTGACCAGAGGAAATAATAAGCAGTATTAGAATGACTAAAGTGAGAGACTCTCTTCATATGATTTTTTGGATAAGGAAGCAGAACACATACTAATCTCCTGTAAATTAATTTCATATTTGTTTCTTATTATAATGTACTAAAAATAAAAGTATTATTATGCTGTGTGGACATTTAGAAATAATTTAGTACTTTTATTAATTCCTTTAATATCATAATTCATTCAGATGATAGCCTGTTAAAAAGAATAAATGTTTTGTGTTATTCCTTTTGTAAGACAAATATACAATTTTGTGACCATAACTCTTTACGTGCTAAATCTAAGTAATGGCTCTGTAAACACTTCAGGGAACAAACCAAATGAAAAATGGCAGCGGACATTTCCCATATAAAGATTAACTTCTTACTTTGTGTTTTGGACTCAGCATCTACCAGTGTTTGTGTTAAATAGTATAAACCTTTCCTGTACCTTTTCTGCAAGGTTGTGCTTTTTCTCTTGTTCCCGTGTTGTTAGATCTGATATAAAAGCAATAAAGCTCTTAGATTGCAATTTGTGACAGAGACCATTAATTTGTTTTTTTTCCATAATAGGAGCTCTTGGGAAACCATATTCAGTAAAGGCTCAGAGGCGCTGACTCCGGAGCAGCTCCAGTGCTGCCAGCGAATAGTACAGCTTTGTAAACACTGCCTGCTGGTAGTTTACAAACATTCATCAGACTCAAGAGGATCCCCAACTGGGATGAGTCACCACTGGGATGATACAAGGTATAAATTTGAATATTTTCCTTCTAAATTATATGTATAAAGGATAGTACTGGAACAGGTTTTATTCCATGTTGCTACCACTAAACTTTTCTCTAAGTCTGGTTCCCTCTGTATTTAAGAAAAAATCCCATCAAACTCCCCAGCATTTCCCTTTATCCTGACTTTCAGTCATTCTTATCTCACTATTCCAGTCATGAAGTGGTACCAAAAGAAAATTTGACATACATATCTTGTATGTTTTATTAAACTTCTGTAAACTTATGTACATCTTGTACACTTATTAAACTCTTGATTGCCTACTGCCTAATTAGCTGCAGCAAAGGCTTTCCATAAAGTGAACTGAAAATCTCCTTTCTTCCCCTTCTCAGATCCCTCAAAGTCAGTGTTTCCAGATTTGCATTCCTAGAGGTATCCTAACATGTCAGATACTTCTGGCTTCACATTCGCAGTGGGCTGCTATAGGGGCACAGCTCCAGCCAAGGGTCAGGTAAGTGCCATCTGATTTACTGTATTGCACAGTTTTGCAAAGTTGATTTCCAAAATCTATAAATGGAAAGTTTTATTATTCCATCTTATGGAGCATAAATATATTTTCAAACCTTGCAAAACAGCATCATATAGTAAAAGAATTATTTGGCACTTACCTGATTCTCCATTGGCTGGTTTAGTTCCCCAACTGGATACAACAGGGGTTATAATATTATCAGTGTAGGGACTACTGAGAATGCTCCAACTGTGGCAGTCAATAATTTGCAATTAAACAGTCATAGAGAATTAAATGTCAGTTTTAAGTTACTTATGATCCAGATTCTATCTCATTTTAATTATTGTGTATATAAAAATTACAAATGCTTTGTTTATATAAAATATCTTACATTTATTGTTTCATAGAAGGGCTTTGTGATTTGAGCATTATGTGAAAATAAAATTTTTCATATATTATCTATTAAACTTATTACTTAATTGCTTACATGATATATCTCAGATTAATTATTTGATACACTGGACCCATGCATTACTGACATGTGGATCTTAAGACTCTCTAACATAATTTAAAGCCAACCAGAAATTAAATTTGTTTGATCACAGCAAAAGCAGAAGTATGTTAGCCACAAACCAATCATACTCAATATTAACAGCTACTGAGTTATAGCAGGAGAATGGTAAAGTCATTTGCATTAACTAAGACTAGAAAATCTCAAAGTTTTTATTGCCTTTACAGTGAAGACTGCAGAAATTTTACATCATGACCAACCACAAGCTATTCAAACAGATCAGATTACTCTAATGTACTCAACTAACAGGCTTGCTTTTGGAATGCAATGCAATTCTCGTCTCCAGTTTCTGTATTTCTTTGGATGCTGAATGGAAATTATTCATAAACTTCATAGGCTGGAGGAATCTAAGCCCTCTGTATCCTGAATATCAGTAATGGAGTATCAAGACAACTCTGATTAAAGTTACACTTAAATGTTTCATCTAGACATGAATACAGCAATATGCCAGTTATCCATGATATTCTGAATCTGTGAAATGAAAGACACATATGGAAATAAATTCTCTTGTCTGTTACAGCCCGCAATTGTAAGGGTAATTAAGTACTTTTCTGGAAGTGGGAGAACCACAATACCAATTAATTTTTCACTCAGGTTTCTGTTTGTAATGAATCTCTACTACTAATAATAGTTTTCCTGACTCTCCATAAAATTGTGTGGTGCAAGAAAATATTAGAGTATAATGTAATAAATGTATGAGAAGTCAATTTTTTCAAGACTTTATAAAATCGAATTTGAAGAACTTTGTTTTTTTCTGAGCACAAACAAATTTTTTATTTTATTTGTGTTTAGGAAACAAAAGTTTGTGAAACTAAAGCTTTCACAGTTTACAGATAGATAGCTCTTTAGCTGGGAAAATTATTTGTACAGGGAGAGATAAAAAGATAATAAACTGCCACACAATTCTTTAATAACTTGTCAAATTTCTTTTCAACTCTATCTCTTAACTGTAAATCTGCTAAGTAAATTAAACAATAGGATTGCTCAAAAACTATACCAAATTCTCTTAAAAATTAACTAAAATCAAACTGTGTAAAAAGCCATAAATTAACCTATGTTAGAAAAAAAAATCTACCTCTAGGTCCTTACAGTTTGCTAAATGACTTTATCTATTACATGGCATATTCTCTGGGTAGTACTGGAGTTTTTTACTGTATCATCAAGCAAAGGTAGGACTCGGTCTGGTGACACAGTGAACTGTCAAGCTCACTACCAACCCATTCCAAATCAGACTTTATTTTTTCACAAATTCTTTAAAAAATGTGTTAATGATAAAATTTTTCTCAAGCTTAAACAAAGCAAATGTGTACACTTTCTTATACAGACTGTTCCTCTTGACACAGTGCTGCTGTTTCTATCCATGAGATCAGTCTGACCAGTCTTTTAAATTATTTGTCATTAATCAATATGATTCACTAGAATTGCACAACTATTTTTAAGCAATAATTTATACAATGTGTAATGTTAATCCATCCTAACACTGACCTAATTCATTGTGAAATTCGGATTTAGAATGGATGTTATTTTTGCACACTTTATTTACTTCTACAATTAACTTTTAGTTAATTACAGGATTAAAATATTTAAGAATTAGTATTAGGTATATGATAAACTGCTGTTTGTATTTTTGGATGAAATACAAGCTATACAGTTGCCTGAATTTAAAAGGTAAATAGTCACTGATGTGGATTGAATTACTACATTGTAGGATCATTTCTTCCTTTACTACAGTAGTGATAACATGTCTATTCTTAGAACATTAGAGATGGAAATATTTTTGGTGTCTAATCAGTTTTTTTTAATGATCCAACTTTTTATAAGATGTTTTTTTTGCCCAGCTTAAGTAAAACATGATTCTGTTGTTTACACAGGATTCCACTGTTTATTTATTTAATGGCTTGAAACATAAAAGACTGGAAAGATGTTTGATCCTCATACAACAGAGTTTAGATTCCTTTTCTGAGTTAGTTTGTGCCTATTACCCTCTGTGTTTCATAAATAGCATTTACTGTACTGAGTTTCCTGCACACACCAATTATAAAGTCTGGCACATTAACAACTAGTTCTTTTGCACTTGAATGTTGCTTTGTCTGTAAACTTTGCTTTATTTTTCATATCCTTTCTAGGTGTTTATTGCCAAGACCTTCACTGTTCATCCTGAAATCATCCTCATCCAAACTTAGCTGCAGTCCATCTGGAACGCCTCGCCCTAACATTTTGTTCACACACAGATACAGTCACTTGTGAAGTAAAAGGAAATTGCTGTTTGTAAATAATAGCATTCAACTTCTTTTTTTTAACTTGTGATGGAGCTAAACATAAGCGCTGTTATATATTTCCTACCATCATATTATAATAAAATTTAGCTGAAAACCTACTGTAAAAGCATAGCTTTTCTGGGAACATGATAAACCTTGTTAAGTTGTTTACATACACATGTGAATGTGTAGATCTTGCTAGGTTTATAAGTAACTCCTTCCTACTAGAAATGTTATTTTTGCTGCAGAATATATAAAATGGAATTGTTCTTGAAGATTCTATTACAGTATTATATTATTTTGTAAGTACAATACTTGGACTTGAAAATTATTTATTGTAAACTATATTATTTATTGTCTCAAATGTCCTTTAACAAAGCAGATAATTAGAAAACTCTTGCAGAACAGTAAAACTGTAACAGTTATCAAAAATAATCTGATCAGTTCTTGGATATGTTTAAAATAAACCCCAAAAGTCTGTAAGCCAAACCTAAAGCAGACATATTTTTATTTCTCCTCTGAAATGACAAGATCTATTTAATACTGCTGTTTTTCTTAAAGGACATGATATAGCATCTTTTAGCCAAAGCAAAGGCATCTAGTACACAAACAGTAAAATATCAGTTTAGGCATTCACTTCCTAATTGGATTCTCGTAATAAAATGGAAGCCAATGTTTGTTTCCAGGTTTTCATTCACATTACCTGTATCCTGTGCCTTTAGGTTTCCTTTGGGAGCAAGCAGTCATCCTCAGCTCCACACGCATGCATAGTGCATAGTTTTTCTGTTACACTGCCTAAGTGGTAAAGCAGACATTTTTAGGAAATACTGCAGCTGTAATGTATTATTTAAAACTTAAACTAATTGGTTTGTTGTAGTTTTTAGCATGCAATCCAGTACCTACTGTAGAATGTATCTTTGCAATGGACAGTATTTTCTAGATTGCTGACACCTTTAAATGTTGGAAATCTAATTCACTAAAAGCTCTCATTCAGATCTAGATTCCTGAAGCTGGCTGAACAGCACAAAACCAAAATGAGCCAGAGCAGGAACCTAGTATTTACAGGATTTGTAGCCTGAAAACATCATTTGGGTTTTGATACATACAGCCATTCGTCCCACTCAGCATTGTGCCATGTGAGCCTTATTCATTAGAGAAATAATTATTAAAGAAATCAGTTATTCTAGATTTAAAAATAATTAAGTTTTTTATTTGAGTAAAGAACAGAGTAGTTATTATTTACCAAAGACTCGTGTACTTATGAATCATTTAACCCTGAAGAGTGTTGGTAAATTATCAATGTATTTCAGGTATACTTTAAAAATAATTTGGGGGCTAATTATCCTCAGGAGCAAGTATGTTAGTGTTTTTTGATATCCAGCAATTTAAGACAAATTTAAGAGACTTAAGAGATTTGAGATTGAAGTTGTATGGAAATTATTTTTTAAGAAGTTTTAGTCATAGGATATATAAAAACTGGGAATTTGGTTGAGATTTTTGATGCCTGTGCTGTAGTGCCTCAGCTCTAGAACTGCAGAATATGTAACAAGAATATATAACAAGAATATTTGTAAACAAATAAAAAAAACCTCTTGAGATTATCAGATCAAAGCAGTCTTTTGGTCTGGTAAAGTCTTTTTAATTTTTGTGGTAATACTAGTTCAGTAATATAGTATGTTCACATTAACTGTATATCTCTTTTGGTCCATACAGTGACTATTAAAGCATACTCTGGTTACCTGTAACACCTAATAAAAGCTGTAAATTTTCTCTTCTTGGAGAAGGTTTCCATTGTATTCTACTTTTGGCCATAAGGATAAGATCAGCTTCCAGCTTAGCTTGCCAGACTCTAACAGAACTTTAGGATGGGAGGTTCACATGTCTTTATTTTTTTCCTTTTATTTTTTTCTAAACTTTACTATATGATTTCTATGTTCAAATGCCAGTGCTGGTATTTGAACAAGTCAATTTGAACAGATCAATTTGTACAGGTCAGTCTGTACAGAATACTCTGCCAAAAGAAAGAGGGCTACTAACCACACCTATGGACAAATCTAGGAAAAAAATTCATTTAGCATGTACAAAAGTGGACTAGATGGTGGTTTACATCTGACACTACAATATATTTGTATTTCTGACAACCTTTCCTAAAGTGGTCATGTGTTCCTAATATAATGTGTGAATCAATACCTTCAATAAACATCATGCTACACTTTGCTGCAGCTCCTCACAACCAGCGTGTGTGCTCTGCGGGTGAACTACGGCTGCACCTGCAGCCCAGCTCCAGGCAGTGGAAGCAGTTTCCCCTTTCCTCTGCAAAACAGCAGCAATTTGCTTTGTGATCAGACCAGTGGTTCTAATAAGCCTTAATGAGTGGCCTTGAGCTCCTGCAAGCCGTGCTGTGGCAGCACCTGCAGCCTTTTGACCTGCAGGTCTGCCTGCCCCTCACGCTGGCCGGGCCAGCCGGGCCCTGCCTGGGGAGCAGCGAGCTCACGGGGCGCGGCCGTGAGGGCAGCACCGCAATGTCTTCGGTAGCGCTGCGAGATGCTGGCTCTGTTTGCAGGTGCCGTGTGATGCCAAGCAAAGGAACACAGAGATGTTACCGGTGGCGATCTCTGCCCGGTTCCGACACGACTATAATGAGGTAATTAATGGGTTCTGTTAGCGGTGTATCACAGCACCTGGAACGCGCCCGTGAGTGTCCAGCTCTCGCCGCCTGAGGCCGCAGCCCCGGCCTGCCCGGTGCTGGGAGAGGAGCGGGGAGCGCTGAGCTCCTCGTTTATCAATAACGGCACCTCCGGAAGCCAAATATATCGCCTTATTTTTTTTTTTTTTTTTTTTAATTTTTAATTTTTATTCCCCGCGGTTATTGCAGTTACACGGTTTTTACAGTTAATTAGTCCGGAGCGCGGCCGGCTCCCGGCAGGAGAGGCCTGCGAGGGGCGGCCCCGGGCGGGGCTGGGCGCCGGCAGCGCTCACCCGACCCCGGCCCTGCGCCCACCGTGCCCCGGCGCTCCTGCTGCCCTAGAGAAGAGATGCGCTCGGAAATGCCACTTATTAAAAATTGCAAAGACTTCACGCGTTATTTGAGGACCAGAGCAAGGAAAACACTTTTTTGGAACCATTGCTTAAATTATGTTGGAGGAAATGTTACTTGAAGTATAACATAAGGACACCTATTTGTAGACTTTGGCTTTGGGTTATTGTCCTGACTTGAAAGACTGTCTTATACCCATAGAAAAATCAGCCTCTAAGTGTTTATTCTCTGTATTGAAAAGTAAACAAATTACTCAGTGTTTAAAATTACATCTAAAAGGTTTTGTACCTGGTCTAGGAACTCTAGAACAAATTCACTTTTCTATATAAAACCTTAAGTTTATGGTTTATGGCTTTCCCTGTATATTCAAGTGAAAATATTAAAAATATGCCTAGAGGGATCTGGATAGGCTGGATTGATCAGCAGAGACCAAGAGTATGAGGTTCAACAAAGAGAAACACTGAGTCCTGCCCTTGGGTCACAGCAAAGCTCTGCAGTGCCACAGGCTTGGGGCAGAGTGGCTGGAAACTGCCTGGCAGAAAGGGACCTGGAGCTGCTGGGTATGAGCCAGCACAGGCCACAAAAGCATCCTGGCTGATACGAGAACTAGCATGGCCAGCAGGACTAGGACGGCGATTGTCCCCCAGTCCTTGGTGCTGGTGAGGCGCCTCGAGTGCTGTGTGCAGTTTTGGGCCCCTCAGTGCAGGAAGGACATGGAGGTGCTGCAGGGTGTCTGGTGGAGGGCAGCGGAGCGGGTGAAGGGTCTGGAGGGTAGGTCCTATGAGGAGCAGCTGAAGGAGCTGGGGTTGTTTAGCCTGGAGAAGCGGAGGGCTCAGGGGTGGCATTATCTCTCTCTGCAGCTCTCTGAAAGGAGGGTGTAGCCAGGTAGGGCCAGGCTGGTCACCCAAGGAACTGGTGACAGGACACGAGGACATAGTCTCAAGCTGTGCCAGGAGCAATTCAGGTTGGACATTCGTGGGAATTTCTTCAGAGACATGATTAGACATTGCAATGGACTGCCCAGGGAGGTGGTGGAGTCACCATCCCAGGAGGTGTTTAAGAAAAGGCTGGACATGGCGCTTGGTACCGTGCTCTAGGTGACATAGTGGTATTTGGTCACAGGCTGGGCTTGATCTTGGAGGTCTTTTCCAACCTAATTGATTCTGTGAAAAGACTGAATTGCATTGACAGTTATAACATCTACTTTAGGTGTTAGCAAATATGAGTATTTGCAAGTTAGCTTTGCATGCGTTGTTAAAACAGTTAACTGGAAGCTATTGCAATGGGAATCCATTTTCAGGAGGAAATAATTTGCTGTTAAATGGCATTCTTACTAGCAAATCTTTCCCTTCAGCATTTGCTAAAAACATTCGTATTTTTTTCTGTATGTGGTAAAATTCCCATGTGTTAGGTTGTTATTCTGCATCTGTGTTCTTTGTTCTCTGCCAGCCACCTCTCATGCAGTTCCCTACATTACTGAAATCTCTTGTTAACACAGAAGAGTCTTTGTTAGTGTGTAAATACCTGTAGCACTTTAGCACACTTAAGGAAATGGGGGTAATTTTACCTTTTTCTTATATGGAACAGAAGACTCTGCTTGTGGGGAATCAAGGAAGGTGCATTCTGATGTTTTTACCATATCCTCATTTCTTCTTTAAAACAAAAGGCAACATTTTTGCAGAAAGGAAATTGTTAATACTGAACTGAGTCCTGCCCTCCTTTCAATAGAGATGCTACAGCTTATCCTATTCAATAATGCAGTTAAGGCTACTGTGTGTGGCCCCAGGTACCCGCTGCGTGTCTCAGCCTGCTTTTAGCACCACAGAGTGAAGTGCAGCCCGTGCCTGGCTGCAGTGGGGTCTGACACGGGTGCCCAGCGTGCCCTGCTGGCTCAGGTGGCTGCACAGCAGTCGGTCCCCCCTGTGCCGGCCCCTGTCGGGACTGATCCGCAGCGTTCTGCAGGGTCGGGAGCGTAGGGAAGTGACCCCTGTCCGCCCTTCCTCTGTGCCCCCACAACGCCGCTGCTCCTGCCACGCAGCGCCAGCACGCAGTGCTGTGGGATGGATGTGAGCACGGGCATCCCGCTCGCTGCAAAGCGCTGCCTTTCAAGGCTGAGGGGAGCAGACATGAGGTAGATTGGAGCCCAAAAAGAGTATAAAATGTCAGGGGATATGGTGAGAAAAAACCGTTACCCTGCAGATGGTTTCACATTAAAATTTTTCCTTGTGCCCACCTTTGTGGAAATTATGTGCTGTTATTGCAAATAATTCTGCCATGGCAGAACAGATGGTTTCACTTAATGCTATGTATCGTTTTTAACTAAGTGGTGCAATGTCATCTGACTATCCTATATCATTAATACATAGTTGTTCCTTACAAAATTCCCCACAATCCACTGTCTCTTTTGGAAGCTTATCAGAAGGACAGAGAGGACCTTATTTTCTAAATAGAAGCTTTCAATTTCAAGATTAAAAAAAAAAAAAGTAATTCAATATTTTGTATTTCAAGCTATGTAGTGCACAGATTTCTTGATCTGACCCAGGTATCAGACTATCACTCTGGTTGTCCTTGCACAAGAGGGATGGGATTAATTTACTTTGCAAAGAGAAATACAGGTGAGTGATGCAAGTGGACTCAGCAAAGGTGCATCTGGCACAAGAACAGCCCAATATGAAATCTCAGAATGTGTTTCCAGGAGAATGCACCTGTGTCCTGAGCAGCCCTTGTGTGTAAGCATCTCTCTGCTGAGTGGTCTTGCTCATAACTGAAGATGCTCTTACAGTTCTGACGTTGCTTGCTGGTCCAGGGACCTGTGGGTCACATACAGCCAGAGGTTTCATTAGTTCTAGTGTTTGGTAAAATAACTGATTTACAATGTCCCTTACAAAGACATTAAACCTGTCAAACAACTAAACATAGATAATGAGAAGTAGTACAAATTGTCCTGTGCAGAGATCTGGACTCTTTCTGTTAACTAATGAACTGGGGACACTGTGCAGTCTAGACACATTTTTTTTTTTGAAACTGACCATGTTGGTAAGGAGCTGGCAATTTCAGAGATTCATAAGTGTTGGAAGAGTTGGACTTCATTCCATCCCACCTATCCTTTTCCATTCAGCTGTATTAGGTGATTGCAGGTGTTCTGCTGAGTCAGGCCTCTTCCCTCCCCATGCAGGGTTTGTACTCCTCATGGGTGTGATGTGCTTTTTCACAATTGTGTGGAATTCAAGCCATCTGATTTCTTTTATTCTGATTCGGAGACTGAACAAAGTAGTTGTATCTAAAAGGCACAGTAGCAGACAAGTGTGCTGTGGGGCAGTTTAACTTCAGTCACGCTGTTGGTTGCTTTGGTGTTTGCTCTGGTCTGCATTATGCAGCCAGAAGCAACTGAGAAATCTTACTGGCACGGTGAAAAATATGTTCCTCTGGCACTTAAAATAATTCCTACAAGTATTGGTAAAATGGACCTGACAGCATCTTTCCAAAGTTTAATTCAGTTAATCTGTGGGATGGTTTGCCAGATTAATCAGAATGACTGCCTAAAGCCGTGTGGTTGGGTTATAGTCACTAAACTTGACTATATGGCACACCAGACAGAGCTGGTGCTTTATTTCTGTCTGCAGTAGATTCAGCCTGTATGTTCCTCTCCTGTCACCATGGCCTCTGCTTTTTTTTGAAACAGAGGAACCTCTAACTCCCTTCAGCTGTGATGTGCCTTTTGAACAACTGAGAAGCCAAATGCTTTGCTCCACAGGCGTGCTGCTGAGTATGACAGTACTGGTCACAAGTGGTGAATATAGTGGAACATAGGTAGCAAGGGCATTTTTTTGAAAAGCAGGTTAAGTGCAGTAGTTCTGTAATTGCCATCCTCCAAGCTGTTGGTTCCTCTTGCAAGTGTTGTTGTAGCTGTCAGAGTAGGGTGGCTGTTTGCTGTGGTAGAGGAAGTTGTTGCTAACTCAGACTCTTCTTCCTAAACTTTGCAGTTTTAATTCCTTCCCTCCCCCAGCTCACTGAAATGGAGAAAGACTAAGTTTTGTATATCTTATAACTTCCAAATGGTAACAAATCTGGGTTTGAGGAAAAAGCTTTAATAGAAATATGAATCATCATCTGACATGAAATGGTGTTCAAACTATCCAAGTGTATGGGCTTATTTGTGGTTGAATACACCTCTTTTACAGAAAA